TTGAAGAGTACTCTATAGAATTAAAACCAGTTAGTGAGGCTCATCGGTGCACACCTGTTCCCAGTTACTTAGGTGGCTGAGGTGGGAGGCTTGCTTAAATCCAGGAGTTTGAGGCCAGCCCAGGCAACACAATAAGACCTTGTCTCAAGAAACAAAAACAAAAACCCCAATTAGGCCCCGTGTGGTGGCTCAAGCCTGTAGTCCTAGCACTTTGCAAGACTGAGGCAGGTTGATCACTTGAGGTCAGGATTTTGAGAACAGCTTGGCCAACGTGGGGAAAACCCACCTCTAAAAAAAAAAAAAAAAAAAAAAGCCAGGTGTGGTGACACACACCTGTAATCCCAGCTACCCCAGAGGCTAAGGAATGAGAATCTCTTGAACCTGGGAGGCAGAGGTTGCAATGAACCGAGATTGTGTCACTGCATTCCAGCCTGGGCGACAGAACAAGACTCGGTCTCAAAACATAAAATAAATAAATAAAAAATAGGTTAATGGCATTAAAAGTCAACTAATAAAATTGGTTAAAACTATGGACTTTAATAAATGTTATTTGATTTAGCAATTTATTTTTTTATTGAAATGGAGTTTTGCTTTTGTTGCCCAGCATGGAGTACAATGGTGCTATCTCAGCTCACTGCAACCTCTACCTCCTGAGATCAAGTGATTCTCCTGCCTCAGCCTCCCGAGTAGCTAGGATTCCAGGTGCCCAGCACTACGACTAATTCTTTTGTATTCTTAGTAGAGACCGGATTTCACCATGTTGGCTAGGCTGGCCTCGAACTCCAGACCTCCAGTGACCTGCCCGCCTTGGCCTCCCAAAGTGCTGGGATTATGGGTGTGAGCCACCATGCCTGTACTGTTTTAGCAAGTTTGACAAAATGTGGGTAATTTATTTACATAATAGAAAATGCCTAATATTCGTTAATTGAAAATTAGAAATTATATTAAAATATTCAGTACTGTTTTTTAACTATTCTACTTTTACATATTTTAAGAGATTCTTTTCTTTTCTTTTTTTTTTTGAGACAGAGTTTTGCTCTTGTTGCCCGGGCTGGAGTGCAATGGTGTTATCTCAACTCACCGCAACCTCCCAGGTTCAAGTGATTCTCTTGCCTCAGCCTCCTGAGTAGCTGGGATTACAGGCATGCACCACCTTGCCTGGCTAATTTTTGTAGAGATGGGGTTTCTCCATGTTGGTCAGGCTGGTCTCAAACTCCCGACCTCAGATGATCTGCCCATCTTGGCCTCCCAAAGTGCTGGGATTACAGGTGTGAGCCACTGCGCCCGGCCAAGAGATTATTTTCTTTAAATATTCTGTTTTATACATTTTATTTACTCATTGTTTTATCTGTTTCCTGAAATTAATAGATGCTAGTAGGAAAATTACCTTTATAAATGTTAGCATCTTAAAGTCATGTCAATATGCAGATTTTGATAACAGTGTAGATAAACCAATTCTAAAGTTAGCAATGGGGCCAGGAGCTGTGGTTTACACCTGTAATCCCAGCATTTTGGGAGGCCAAGGTGGGCAGATCACTTGAGGTCAGGAGTTCCAGACCACCCTGGCCAACATGGTAAAACTCTGTCTCTACTAAAAATACAAAAATTATCTGGGTTGGTGGCAAGTGCCTGTAATCCCAGCCACTCTGGAGGCTGAGGCAGGGGCATGGCTTGAACCCAGGAAGCCGAGGTTGCAGTAAGCTGAGAATGAGCCACTGCATTCCAGCCTGGGAGACAAAGTAAGACTCTCTCTCAAAAAAGAAAATAATAACAATAATAAAATAATAAAGTCAGGAATAGGTCACACCATGCTTTATTATATCTGTGACTTCGAAAATCAACATTATTTTACTAACTATACTCAACAATTCTTTTTTAAAAGGGATTTATGACATAATTCTTTTGGAAATTAAAATGCATTGTATAATTCTATACTAGGTCAGATTATACTTCAGGTCTAAATGAATTACTTTGAAAAATGTATTTCTTAGGTGTATGTTTTATGGACTTAATATATATATATATTTTATTACCAAAAAAAATCTTTTTTTTTTTTTTAAGACAGGGTCTTGCCCTGTCACTCAGGCTGGAGTGCAGTGGCTCAATCTCAGCTCAGTGCAACCTCCACCTCCCAGGTTCAAGTGATTCTCCTGCCTCAGCCTCCTGAGTAGCTGGGACTATGGGTGCCCACCACCATGCCTGGCTAATTTTTGTATTTTTAGTAGAGATGGGGTTTCACCGTATTGTCCAGGCTGGTCTCGAATTCCTGACTTTGTGATCTGCCCACCTCAGCCTCCCAAAGTGCTGGGATTACAGGCGTGAGCCACCCGAACCTGGCTGAAAAAATCTTAAATTTACAAAAACACAGAGAGAAATATAGCAAATGCTTTTATTAGTTTTCTATGGCTACTGTAACAAATTACTACCACTTTCTTTACTTAAAACAATGCAAATTTATTACTCAACAAGTCCCGTAGGTCAGGAGCCCACGTGGGTCTCACAGGTGATGGCAGGACACCTGAGCATCTGCAGAATAATTCATTCCTTGACTTTTCCACCCTTGAGCCACTTGTGCCATTCCTGGGCTTGCGGCCCTTTCTTCCATCTCTGGAGTCAGCACCAGCGGCCACATCCTTAACAGATTGCATCTCTCTGACCTTCCTTCCCTTGTCACATTCTTTCTGATTCTCATTGCAGGTAAAGGGTCTTATAAGGAAGCAATGAAACTGGGCTCACTGGGATAATCCAGGATTATCTCCCATCTGAAGGTTCTTCATCACATGCTTGCAAAGCCCCTTTTGCCATGTAAGGTAACTTGTTCACAGCTTCAAAGATTAGAATGTGGACATGTTTGGGGGCATAATTCGGCCTAGCACAGTGCCCATGTACCCACTCCTTGTTTAAACATTAAACACTTTGCCAATATTGTTTCTCCGATCTCTTCTCTCACATTTTTCTCTAAAAAATTCCAGGGATTTATTAAATTTTATTAAAGCAAATCCCAGAAATAATATAATTTGCCTGTAAATATGTTAATATGTTTCTCTGAGGTCTTTAAAAATCATAGCCACAATAGTATTATCATAATAAAATTACCTGTAATTATTTAATGTCATCTAACATTCAGTCCATGTTTGAACTTCCCAATTTTTTTTTTTTAAAGATGGGGTTTCACCATATTGGTCAAGCTGGCCTCGAACTCCTGACCTCAGGTGATCCACCCACCTCAGCCTCCTAAAGTGCTGGGATTACAGGAGTGAGCCACCACGCCCGGCACTTCCCAATGTTTTTAAAACTCCCATGTATTTATGTAAAAGTTTGTCTTAATCATGACTCAAAGTCCACAGACTGCATTTGGCTAATGTCTCTAGCGCTCCCCCGACCCTCTTTTTTTAAAGACATGGGGTCTGGCTGTGTTGCCCAGCCTGGAGTGCAGTGGCTCTATTCACAGGTGTGACCATAGCTCACTACAGCCTTGAACTCTGGCCTTAAGCAGTCCTCCCACTTCAGCCTCTGAGTATTTATTTTTGAATAAAGAAATTGGGTCATTTGGTTTGTAGAATTTCCCACATTCTGGATTTGGCTGATTACTTCCTGGTGATGTAATCTAATGGTTTCATTTGGCCCCTGTATTTCCTTTAGCCTGTGGTTAGAGTTGTAAGCTTAACGGTAGTTGTTTCCTTTGTTAGTCAGCAAGAACACTTTAGCGGTGAGGCTGCAAACATTCCACTGTGACAAATCAGTGTGTTTATGGAATCAGGCTGTCCCAGTTTCGATTATGTCAAAGTTGTTCACCTGATCATATCTGAAAATACTACAGTATTCTTACTAATGATAACCATTTACCGCATACTTATCATATACCAGGCATTTTGCTGGCTGTGTCCTATATAATCCGCATACGACATCTTTGTGTATTAACCACACTCATAGATTTGTGAAAATGAACCAAAATTGGCTGGTTGGAAGGCTGTATGTGGGTTATTACTCTGAGCTTGTTTACTTCTTGAAAAATGGAATAATGGCTCCTGCTTTTAATATACAGGCTTATTTTGAGGATTTTTTTCAACAGATGTGAAAGCACTTAGAAAACTGGAACACTCCGTGCTACACTATTACAATTAGTAACATCAGTGAGAGAAAAGCAAGTGCATAATAAATATTTATTATAGTTATCCTGATTGTCCCCTTTATTCATCACACACTTCCTGAGCACATCTCTGGAGGGCACTTTGCAGGGCCCCGGGGGCGCCGGAGAGGAAAGACGCCCAGCCAGACCCGGTGGGTCCCGGAGGGGCAGCGCGGCGCGGGAGGGGAACGGGGCGGCACTGGCTGCCACCGCGCGCGGAGCCCTGGGGCGGCTCGGGCTCTCGTGGCAGTCAGCTGCCCGCTTGGCTCCTCCAGGCCCTGAAGCGCTGATGCGGGTTCTGGGGACTTCTGGGGCGGGGAGGCGGGCTTGCGGGGAGTAGTGGCCACCCCCGGCCGCCGCCATGGATGTGCCCAGAAGCCGGCCCTGGCTCCAGGAGGCCGGGCGCGCGGCCCGGGGCGCGAGTTCCTCCTGCCCGCCTGTGCGCTCCGTAACGTTCCTTTCCTGGGCCATAACGACTGCTCGCCCGTGCGTCGCCCTCGCCGCTCTCCAGTGTCCCCCAAATGCCTTTTCCGAGCCCCCAGCCCGTCTGCGGTGACTGCCCAGGGGCTCTGTGACTGCAGAGCCTGCCAGGCACTTGGGAAAGGGCGCTAGGGGCCGGGACGCCGCCGCTGAGCGCAGGGTCGGGCCTTTACTCTCCGCAGTTGCGCACGGAGCCCCGGCTGAGGTTGTCCACTCTGAGGACACAGGCTGCGGAGCCCCGGCGCCATCCGCCTGGCCCTTCCAGACAGCCTGCCAGCTCCAGCAGCCCGCGTTCTAGAACTCCGGCAACGGGCGGACCGGACGGCTCCGGGAGTATTGGGGCTCCCCCGCCCACCTGAGGCCGCCGGGGCGGGGTTTCAAGGGCTTCAGTGACAGGCCCGCGCGCTGCTGCGGAAACAGGAAGCCGGCTGGGTGCGCGCAGGGCTCGGGCTGCAGGGCCGGGTCCTCTCCGCCGCCGAAGCCGCCCCGGGCAGGTGAAAGGGCTCCCGCACCGCCCGGTGCTCCCCATCTCCCTGGCGTTGTGCGCAGAGAGGGAAAGCATGGCTGTTGTATGTATTCTTGCGCCCGTGTGACAGACAACATTTAAACTTCTAAAAACGGAACCTTCTTCCGTTTTAGGATTGCAAGTTACCCTAGGAAAAACAGCATTCGGCAATTATTTACTGGAAAATCTCGATGACTTAAGATCCGTGTATTCCATTGCAGGGGTCTCTCACTCTAGTTTATGGGTGTAGATTTTTAAAAAATCCATCTTATCATTAAAAAATAACGCTCAAGGTGGAAAATTTCAAATGCAAGTCGCCGTTGATGAGATTGCAATGAATATATTTAAGATAGTGAACTAGAGAAAAACTACAGATCAGTGGATATATTTTTTTCATGATATTTGGTGGGGGGGATTCAATTTTTAACGATAACTTTGAAGTTAAACATTCAAAGATAGGCTGGGCACGGTGGCTCAGGCCTGTAATTCCAGCACCTTGGGAGCACGAATGGGGAGGATCGCTTGAGCCCAGAAGTTCGAGACCACCCAGGGCAACATAGCAAGACCCCCCATCTCTACAAAATGTACAAAAAAAAAAAAAAAAATTAGCCAGGTGTAGTGGCACGCACCTGAAGTCATTCGGGAGGTTGGGGCCTGCTGTTGACAAAAAGGCAAACTCCGTAAAATATTTGAAAAGATTTGTTCTGAGCCAAATATGAGTGACCATGGCTGGTGACACAGCCATTTGGAGAGGCTGGGAACATGTACCCACGGTGGTCGGGACCCAGCTTGGTTTTATACATTTTAGAGGAGCCATGAGTCATCAGTCAAATACATATAAAATTAAGATGTGCATTGGTTCTGTCCAGAAAGGTGGGACAACTGGGGAGGTGGTGGTGTTGGGGCTTCCAGGTTACAGGTAGATTTAAAATTTTCTGATTGGCATTTGGTTGAAAGAGTTATTATCAATAGAAAGGAATGTCTGGGTTACAATAAGAGGTTGCGGAGACCAAAATTTTATCATGCAGATGAAGCCTCCAGGTAGGAGGCTTCAGAGAGAATAGATGGTAAGTTAAGTGTCCAGCATGTTAAATGCTGGTCTGCTTTTCCTGAATGGGGGACAAAATGAGGCAAGTTCCACCCCACTTCCTATCATAGCCTAAACAAGTTTTTCAGGTTAATTCTGGAATGCCCTTGGTGGGGGGTCCAGGCAGAAGGTTGTGGAGCCTTAAGATTTCGTTTTTTAGTCGGTCGCGGTTGCTCACGCCTGTAATCCAGGCACTTTGGAGGCCAAGGTGGGCGGATCACCTGAGGTCGGGAGTTCAAGACCAGCCTGACCAACATGGTGAAACCCTGTCTTTAAAAAAAAATAATAATAATAAAAAAGATTTCGTTTTTGGTTTACATTGGGCAGTGGAGTGAGATCCTGTCTCTAAAAAAATAAAAATAAATACAAATCGAAAAGTTCAAAGATAAAATATTTTGCTCCCAATTGTGGATTGCAGTGATTATTCATATATGTTGGGCAGAACAGAACAATGTTTTATGTAATTTATATATAAATACAGGTATTTTAAATTATAATTCAAGATAGGTATTCTTGACCACTATCCCATTGTCATTTTTCTTTAGCTTCTCAGCTTCTTTTTTACTTTCAAAGTTGGTCAGGTTACTTGTTAATACTTAACTAAATAAAAGATCCCTCACTGACAAAACACACATTTTTGTTTCATTTAAGATAAATGAACTCTGATTTGGGGGAGTAGATGCCAACTTAGAGCCTTCGTACCAATCTCTCTCTCTCTTTGAAAGGTGAGGTGACTTGGTGATTTTCCTGGAAACTTATAGGTAATATATAATCTAGCTTCCATATTTTACGAATATGTCTGGAGGCACCAGAGAGATGCATCTCTGCCTTTCCATCCCAGGCTGGCCTGAACTGCCCTGCGGAAGCCGTACAGTGTTCTTGCTGGGTTATCGTTTGATTATCTTAATAAGACTGACAAATTGAACTTGGGAGTGAAAACGGTAACAGTTTAAGAAATTTTTCTGGGTGCCAAGTGGCTCACGCCTGTAATCCCAGTGCTTTGGGAGGCTGAGGCAGGTGGATAACTTGAGGTCTGGAGTTTGAGACCAGCCTGACCAACATGGAGAAACCCCATCTCTACTAAAAACACAAAATTAGCCGGGCATGGTGGCACATGCCTGTAATTCCAGCTACTCGGGAGGCCGAGGCAGGAGAATCACTTGAACCCGGGAGTCGGAGGTTGTGGTGAGCTGAGATTGTGCCATTACACTCTGGCCTGGGCAACAAGAGCAAAACTCTGTTGCAAAAAAAAAAAAAAAAAAAAAGAAAAGAAAGAAAAAGAAAATTTGAATTTTAAAATTCAAAATTTTACAGTTTTGAGGACTAAGCTCTGGTTTTTTCTATCAGTCCTTACAAAAGCACTGAAGTGGGTACTGCGGGTTGTGAGGTCCAGGAGGAGGTTAAGCGGCTGGCACAAGGTCACAGAGTAGTGCTGCCATTTGGTACTTTCCAGTTCAGCACAGCTGCTGTCTCTGCTGGTTGTGTCACAGCATACGCAATAAAATACTCACCAAGGAATGAGTGGCTAAGTCCTCACAGAGCTCTCAGGTTTTCCTCTTTCCTGACAAAAGGTAGGGCTCCATTTGTGCAGGTCCCCCTGGGGGTGGGGTGTCTGCAGAGCTCCCAGGTGCTGGTGGTTAGCAGGCTTCCTTCAGCTGAGTCAGAAAATGGGGAGGCAGAAAATGAGGAGGCTGGGGTAAGATCTGGTGCAGCAAGTGAGTGAAACAAGTCAATTTATACTTGTTGGGAAGCAAGCCGTTCATAGGAGTGACGCCTCATTACCTAATGCTGGTGCCATTTCTAGGGAGGGAAGGAATCTCTCTCCCGACCCTATCAGCCCTCCAAGTTATTCTGTCTTCATTTCAGGTGGGAATAGAGGGCATGTTTTGGCCATAACAACCTTGGGAATGCTAATTCAATGAGTTTTTGGTACAGGAAGAAAAGGTGTTTTTGTTTGTTTGTTCATTTTTGTTTGAGGCAGTCTCCCTCTGTTGCCCAGACTGGAGTGCAGTGGCCTGATCTCCACTCACTGCAAGCTCTGCCTCCTGGGTGCAAGTGATTCTCCTCCCTCAGCCTCCTGAGTAGCTGGGATTACAGGTGTGTTCTACCACACTAGGCTAATTTTAGTATTTATAGTAGAGACAGGGTTCCCACCATGTTGGCCTGGCTGGTCTTGAACCCCTGCCCTCAAGTAATCTGCCTGCCTCCACCTCCCAAAGTGCTGGGATTACAGATGTGAGCCACTGGCCCAAAAGGTATTCTGTTTAAGGATCTACTGTCAAACGTTTTCTAAATAAGTTTTTGCTCTGTTATCTTTTTTTTTCTTCTTTTTTCTGAGATGGAGTCTCACTCTGTTGCGTAAGATCTCAGCTCACTGCAACCTCTGCCTCCTGGGTTCAAGTGATTTCTGCCTCAGCCTCCGAAGTAGCTGGGATTACATGCATACTCAACCACGCCCGCCTAATTTTTGTATTAAATATTTTTAATAGAGATGGGGTTTCACCATGTTGGCTAGGCTGGTCTTGAACTCCTGGCCTCAAATGATTGGCCTGCTTGGTCTCCCAAAGTGCTGGGATTACAGGCATGAGCCACCATGCCCGGCACAGCCTCTTGTCTTTTAAAAAATGATCATGTTGGGCTGGTGCAGTGGCTCATGCCTGCGATCCTAGTATTTTGGAAGGCCGACGCTGGTGGATTGCTTGAGCCAGGATTGCTTGACCAGCCTAGGCAACATGGTGAAACCCTGTCTCTATGAAAAATGCAAAAATTAGCCGGGTGTGGTGGCACATGCCCACCCATAATCTCAACTGCTCCAGAGGCTGAAGTGGGAGGTTGCACTGAGCTGGGAACGCTGTACTCCAGTGTGGGTGACAGGGTGAGACCTTGACAAAAAAAAAAAAAAAAAAAAGATATGTTATACCAAATAGCTCCTTCTTCACATGGTTAGGTCTTCTCAGGAAACTATCTAACAGTTCTAGCCAGCTTGCTTGCTCTCTCTTTCTCTGTCCTTTTCCCTCCGCAGCCCCTTCCACTCTTCTCTCTTTTTCTACTCTCCTCCTGCCTTCTTTCCTTACAAGTCTTTCTGTGGTTGAGTGGCTTTGGATAGGATATTTTAAATTCCCTCTTGGAAAAAAGAATGTTAGGAGTAGGAGGTATTTGAGTTACTGGTGGCAAACCCATACAGGTCTGCAGCAACCTCAATTCTTTCTTCCTCAGAAGAAAGAATTCCACTGAGGGGCATAAGGTCGAAAAAGAGAGTTAGGCAAGTTTCTGAGTAGGAGTGGAAATTTTAAAAAAGCTTAGAGCAGGAAAGAAAGAAAAATACAGTTGGAAGAGACCCAGGAGGACAATGTGAAGGTTAAGTGCAGCGTTTAACATGATCCTAGGACTTTATAGGCTGGCCCACTTCCGGCGTCTTGCATCCCTTCCCCATGATTCTTCTCTTGGAGTGGGCTGCCTGCGTGTGCGGTGCCCTTACACTTGGGACGTGAGCATGAGCGGTGTGTTTAGGAAGTTGTACGCATGCCCTCCTGAGGCTTTCTTCCTTTTTCCGGTGGAGTGCCCCCAGAAGGTCATACTCTGCCATTTTGTCTCCTGATGGGTATGCTCAGAAAGTTTCCTCTCCCTGCCATCTGCATTTAATTAACACTTTAATGTGTCAGCTGTGGACCCTCAGGAGATTGTGTCTCCCTGGTGCTGGCTGCTAAATATTCATTTTTAGAGAGGCAATATGATAACTGTTGAATCGTCACCTGGTGATCATCTGACGTTCCAGGTGGGTGGGAAGAGCCCTCACCTGCCCAACTCATGCCTGTCTAACTACCTGTAACAAGAACATAGCAGTTCGAGAGAAGGGCCAGAACTCCCCTGACCGGTTTGTTTGCAGTGGGACACTCCTTGCAGGCAGCTTACCAGCAAGGAGTAATGCTGAGTGGGCTGAGTGGGGAATTGGGGCAGGAGAGCCCAGGTTGTCTGGAAGTGCAAACCCATAGGCCGTCTCTGTGTCCTTTATCCTGCTCTCTTCATCCAGGGAAGCTGGAGGACTGCAGCTGTGCATCCTATCCTGCCCTCAGCCCCACTTCCGGCTGTCAGCCTGCCTTGTCTCCAGCCTGCTCACCACTCACTGATGCTTTTTGCACCTCTTAGTCATAACTGCTCAAACAAGCCCCACTCTGATGAAAAGAAGCAGGTGTAGAAGAGCAATTATCAAGTTGTCATTCTGGTATTTCATCTTGGGAAACCAGAAACCTACAAAACAGCAAAGGTTTGCACACTGAAAGACTCCTTGGCCTGCCCCAGAAGGTCACATTCCTTCCCTCTCAACTAGTCCTGCACAGCTGGAGGAAACATGCAGTGTTAGAAAGTTTCAATGACGGTTTTGGGTTTAGCTTTTAGGATTTTAGGAGATTCTAGGCCTGTTGAAAGAAAATGAGATGATAAGATCGAAAAGTTGCCTTTGATGTATTTGATTTAATCAAAACAAAGGAAATTGGATGGTGTTGAGGAACATGTTCTTTATCCCTTAGAGGTCTCTCTATCAGAGAACCCAAGCCCTTCGCCATACTGGTGCATGGTTCCTGACACTTGTGCCATCATTCCAAAGTGTCTTACAGATGAGGTGAATGACTGCAAGCAGGAAGTGCTGCTTCTCTGTGTCAGAGTAAGCACGGGCAGCATACGGTGGCTGCAAGCCCTGAGTTGCCTGAGACAGTCCTGGTTCACACCGTTGCCTCGTTATCATTTTATTAGTGACATTTTTCACTCAAAGCTGTCACCAGTTGGAAGATAAAGGTATGTGGTGACTACAGTTATGCAACATGTACGGTTTGCCTTAGAGAAAACAGAGGGGACAAAGGTCTAAGTGAAGAATATAAAGTACAGCTTGAGCAGCTGATAAAGACGTAGGTTTTTGGAGCAGAATTCCAGCAAGAGCAGTTGACTCCAGATGATAAGCAAGGCTGCTTTTGACCTCTCTGTCTCCAGTATTTGTTTGCCATTTCCTCTTTATTTATTTATTTATTTTTGGACGAAGTCTCACTCTGTTGCCCAGGCTGGAGTGCCCTGGCACGATCTTGGCTCATTGCGCCCTGCACCTCCTGGGTTCAAGTGACTCTCCTGACTCGGCTGCCCAAGTAGCCAGGATTACAGGCATGCACCACCACACCTCGCTAATTTTTGTATTTAGTAGAGATGAGGTTTCACCACATTGGCCAGGCTGGTCTTGAACTCCTGACCTCAGGTGACCAACCTGCCTTGGCTTCCCAAAGTGCTGGGATTATGGGTGTGAGCCACCATGCCAGGCCAGCTGTTCCCTTTTAATTCAAGTACCGAGGCCAGACATAGTGGCTCATGCCTGTAATCCCAGTACTTTGGGAAGCTGAGGCAGGTGGATCAGTTGAGGCCAGTAGTTTGATACTAGCCTGGCCAACGTGGTCAAACCCCATTTCTACTAAAATACAAAAATTAACTGGGCATGGTGGCCTACACCTGTAGTCTCAGCTACTCGGGAGGCTGAGGCAGGAGGATTGCTTGAGCCCGGGAGGTGGAGGTTGTAGTGAGCTGAGAGTGCACCACAGCACTTAAGCCTGGGTGATGGGAGAGAAACTCTGTCTCAAAAAAATAAAAATAAAAATAAATCAAGTACTTAATATAGGTAATGCCATTTGAGTGAGACAGGAATGACGGTCCCAGGGCCATCCATTTTGCCATATTCTACCCTTTTACCTTCTGAAAAGCCAGAAATAGTAATGAATACTGAGTAGTACCACATACCCATTGCCAATGCTCCATTAGAAAACTTATGATAAGATTTATTTATTTATCAATTTCTGAAGGTATTGCCAATTTTTGGTTCGGTTTTAAACTTCTGATAATGGCTCAAACTACATTTTCAGACCTGTTTATTTTTCTTTAGGTAAAGTTTAAAGTTTTTCCATGTCCTAATGGTTGCTTATAGAACACCGCTGTAAAACAAGCTAGGGACTCTTATAGGGAATGGGGTTATTCTATTTCATTTATTTATTTATTTATTTGAGACTGAGTCTCACTCTGTCACCCAGGCTGGAGTGCAATGGCACGATCATGGCTCACTGCAACCTCTGCCTCCCAGGTTCAAACGATTCTCCTGCCTCAGTCTCCTGAGTAGCTGGGATTACAGGTGAACACCACCACACTAGGCTAATTTTTGTACTTTTAGTAGAGACGGGGTTTTGTCATGTTGGCCAGAGTGGTCTCAAACTCCTGACCTCTGCCTCGGCCTCCCAAAGTGCTGGGATTACAGGCTTGAGCCACTGCGTCCAGTTTTGTATTTTTAGTAGAGACAGGAGGTTTCACATGTTGGCCAGTCTGGTCTCAAACTCATGACATCAGGTGATCCACCCACCTCCACCTCCCAAAGTGCTGGAATTATAGGGGTGAGCTACTGTGCCCAGCCATGAATGGGGGTTATTTTTAATTTCCATGTGCAGATATAGAGTTCTGAAGATGTGTTTCACAGAGGTGATTTTGGACCCGGGGGAAATGATGTGGTTCTTGACTTCATGCCTGTGAGTGACATGAAGGTCCTAGATTCATGTTAGAAAATCATCTTCCTAAAACAGGATTTTATTTTATTTATTTATTTACTTTGAGACAGAGTTTCACTCTTGTTACCCAGGCTGGAGTGCAATGGCACGATCTCGGCTCACTGCAACCTTTGTCTCCTGGGTTCAGGCAATTCTCCTGCCTCAGCCTCCTGAGTAGCTGGGATTACAGGCACGTGCCACCATGCCCAGCTAATTTTTTGTATTTTTTTAGTAGAGATGGGGTTTCACCATGTTGACCAGGATGGTCTCCATCTCTTGACCTCGTGATCCACCTGTCTCGGCCTCCCAAAGTGCTGGGATTACAGGTGTGAGCCACTGCGCCCGGCCAGGATTTTATTTTTTTATTGGTTCAATTAGGATCTCTGGTCAGTGTCTCTCGTAGCTCCCACCCCACAAGACTTCAGGGGCTTCTCTGACATCTGAGCTCCTTATACCCTCCCTGGAAAGGTCATCACCCTTCTCAGATTCTCATCTTGGGTGCGAGTTGAAGAACCTGAAAGTAGAATGCCACTGTCTATAGCCTATCTCTTGCCCTTGCTCCAGTAAACCAACAACCTCCAGCAATGTGTGTCACTGCCATCACGAGTATGTCACAGTGCTATAGATATCTTGCTTATGGCCAGTTTATTTAAGGCCTGTTCCCAGCAGCAATTAATTTGGGAATATAGACAGGATTATGTAACTCATTAGTTCTTGATAGAGGGAGGTGATGATACTGGTATTATTAGGGAATATAACTGAATTCTTTTCCTTTTCCCTGTAGATACCCAGCTAAGACCTGAATGCCATCACCCTGCCTGGGGCTCTGCAGTTTTCTCATGGTGAACCCTTGATGGATTTACTATTGCTTGAGAAATGGCTAGGATCGGATTGGGGTTTGGAAGATGGAACTTTCATCCATTAAAGAGGAAGAGTTCATTGCTGTTGAAACTCATAGCTGTTGTCTTTGCTGTGCTTCTATTTTGTGAATTTTTAATCTATTACTTAGTGATCTTTCAGTGTAAGTGGCCTGAAGTGAAACCCACCACCGATGACGGTGAACAAGCCACACGTGAGCCTGTGCTCAAAGCCATGTTTCTGGCTGACACCCACTTGCTTGGGGAATTCCTAGGCCACTGGCTGGACAAATTACGGAGGTAAGAGGTAAAATCAGGAATCTTTCTAAAATTCTGTAGGCAAAAATATAGCCCTCTCCTAATAGCAAGATGGCTTTAGGTTACTCTTAGTTACTTTCCTCTCAAAGAAGGACATTTAGGGACATTTGACTTTTCCTTGAATCTACTATTTACTGAGGATATATACAGGTCCCCATGATTTGGGAGTCAGGTCTGGGCCACATTGCTTTGTGACTTTGGACAAGTTGTTAGGGTCCCTCTGAGCCCCTGCCTCCTTGTTTGTAACTGGGTTAAGACAAGAAACATCACAAGATGTGCCATTCAATGACAAGAAGACGCCACGCAATGCCTGGTGCCTGGGACTGGTCCCCTGGGCAGGTGAGGGCACAGATCTGGGTTGGTGGTTCCATCTCACTGCCACTGCTGTGTAACTTTGAGCCTATTGGGTTTCAGCCTCCTCTAGGCAGCAGAGGAGCAGAGCAGATTTGTGGCTGTCTCCCTGGGGAAGGATCGGGTCCTGTCTCTCCAACCCAACCTGCTCCTGCACGGTCCATTGTTTTTTCACCAGGAAGCTTTTTTAAAAAATTATTTTTAGGCCAGGGATGGTGGCTCACACCTGTAATCCCAGCACTTTGGGAGGCTTGAGGCGGGTGGATCACAAGGTCGGGAGTTTGAGACCAGCCTGGCCAACATGGTGAAAACCCATCTCAACTAAAAATACAAAAATTAGCTCAGCATGGTGGCACATGCCTGTAATTCCAGCTACTTCGAAAGCTGAGACAGGAAAAGTGCTTCAACCCGGGAGGCGGAGGTTGCAGTGAGCTGAGATTGTACCACTGAACTCCAGCCTGGGTGACAGAGCAAAATTCTATCTCAAAAAAAAAAAAAGAAGAAGAAGAAGAAGAAGAAGAAGAATAAAGGAGCAGCTATACCTTTTTACTAAGAGTTTTAACCAAAGGAAGCTTGAGTTCAAGAAGGGCTGATGGGGGGCCTGGCCTGCAGTGTCTTGGTTTTACAAATTAACCCTGATGGATGTCTGGGTCTCTCCAAGTAGCCTTCTATGCCTTCTTCCTGTGGCTGTTTCTAGATTCTTACTTCTCCATGGCAAATAACATTAAATCAAGAGAAACTGAGAAACTGAGTGCAGTGCTTCACGCCTGCAATCCCAGTACTTTGGGAGGTAGAGGTGAAGAATTGCTTGAGGCCAGAGATTTGAGACCAGCTTGGGCAACATGGCAAGACCTCATTTCAACAACAAACAAATGACAAACAAAACCCAAAAATTAGCTGAACATGGTGACACCCACTTGTAGTCCTAGCTACTCAGGAGGCTGAGGCAGGTGGATTGCTTGAGCTATTTTGAGCACTGGAGTTTGAGCCTACTGTGAGCTATGATCATGGCTCTGCAGTCCAGCTTGGGTGACAGAGCAAGAGCCTGTCTCTAAAAAAAGTAAAATAAAATAAGAAAAATGGAGAAACGTGTTTTGAGAGAGATCTTGGGTAAAAAGCCTTTCAGAGGTGATGTGTACCACGAAGTAGTTTACTTGGGATCTGAAAATCTTCCTCTGACCAGAAATTACATTGAGTAATTAAAACGGGTCTAGCTCTGCTGCCCAGGCTGGAGGGCAGTGGCAGGATCGTAGCTCACTGCAGCTTCCCGAGTAGCTAGGACAATGGGCTTGTGCACTACACCCAGCTAATTTTTACTTTTTTATAGAGATGGAGTTTTGCTGTGTTGCCCATGCTGGTATTGAACTCCTGGCCTCAAGTGATCCTCCTGCCTTGGCCTCCCAAAGCATTGAAATTACAAGTGTGAGCCACTGCACCCAGCCTACTTTCCCCTCTTTATATATCCCAGGACATAGCATTTCCCTTTTGTAGAGGAGGAGCATCAAGGAAAATGCCTTAAAAAGGAAGAAAGTTTTGAGTTCCTTAGGAAAAATGATATAGGCTGGATTTGGTTAGGTTGTTGACGGGGAGGGCTGAGCAAGCACGGACATTTTTGAACACCTGCTGTGTGCCCCTGCCATGCTTTATAAATGCTGTCTTATTTAATCCTGGAACTGTTTTGTGCAAGTAGGGTTTAAAATCCCCATTTACCAATGAAGACACTGGGAATCAGAGAGTAGGCAATATTTTCAAAGGTACATAGCTCGTCAATGGATCAAGCTGGGATGTTAAGCCATTATCTGTCAGATTGCAGATCCCAGGCTCTTTTCTTCTTCATTTTTTCTTTTTGAGATGGAGTCTCACTCTGTTGTCCAGGCTAGAGTGCAGTGGCATGTGTGTGGGTGTGTGGGGTGATCTCAGCTCACTGCAACCTCTCCTAGGTTCAGTTGATTCTCCTGCCTCAGCCTTCTGAGTAGCTGGGACTACAGGTGTACACTACCACGCCAAGTTGATTTTTTGTACTTTTAGTAGAGAGAGAGTTTCACCGTATTGACCAGGCTGGTCTCAAACTGCTAACCTCGTGATCTGCCTGCCTCGGCCTCCCAAAGTGCTGGTTTTACAGGTGTAAGCCACTATGCCTGGCCTCCAGGCTCTTTCGTTTGCTTGTTTTACCACTGGGAGGATTACTTGTATGTTTGAAATCTACAGGATTTACTGTTTTGATATTGGCTAGCCTATTTCTCTCATCATCTCCCCTCCACCTTGGAAGCAAAGAAGGAAGTTGAAATCCCTTTAAGAAGCTAAAATTAAGCTAGATACAATCATCTCCTCTGTGTGGTATAAAGTCAGTCTCCATTGAGCGTCTTTGGAAGCTGCATTAGGCTCTCTCAGATCCCAGGTGCTATGTTGACTGAGTAATGGCTGTAGGGTGCATGTAGAGTGGGCCCTGTTCCTGGACACCACGGTGTCTGGGGTGTGTAGGAGGGATGGCTGGACTCTTCCTTGATACTTAATTCCCCACCTTTAATCAGATATGGACTCCTTGGCCCTTCAAGCATGGGGTGGGAATGCAAGAGTGGGAGGAGGAGAATGCGACCATTTAGTTTGCTGTTTAAATGGCCCAAAATACAGATGTAGCCTCCACCCAGGAAAGAGACTGATCTTACTTTTTTCTTTTGGCGGCAAGGGAATGGCAGATGGAGAGAGCCTTCCAGACAGCTCTGTGGTTGCTGCAGCCGGAAGTCATCTTCATCCTGGGGGATGTCTTTGATGAAGGGAAGTGGAGCACCCCTGAGGTAGGACTCTGTGATCCAGGTGCCCTCATTCTGCTTCGAGATCCAGCACAAGTAGCCCAGAGAATCCACGAAGCAATGTCAGCACTAGTTGGAAATTTTATGGAAGTTTTACTTACTACTGATATTAAAAATGGGTAGGCTCTCTGGAAGATTCTTGGAATTCATAGACTATCGAAGATTCTTAGAACAACCCAATCTTGAGTTAGGTTGGCTAATCTTAAACATTTGTCCATGCAGGAAATATGTCGATTAGCCAGACATCATTTGGTTGGAATACACTGTTTTGTGAACCTCTTGGGAAAGGGAAAATCAGGCAAGATGGATGGTATTTCAGTTGTCACCAAAATCGCAAAATAAATAGTGAAATGTACGCATAATTTCACACTCTTACTTAATCACGACGTTATGAGAATTGTGCTACCAAAGAGACTTGCTTGTCTCTGATTTTCTTTCTTCTGAGTGAGAGATGCAAGAGGAGCCCTGGGGACTTGGTGTGAGGTTCCTCTGCCTTTAGGAGGGCCTGAGACCCCTGCCTGGGTAGTGGGGTAATGTAAGACTTGCCACAAACCAAAGAGAAAAGCTGTTCTCACCTTAGTTGTCACAGTGTTCTGCTTATTACATCCTTGGAGCAAAATGAATGAAGACAAGCTAGATACAGTCATCTCCCCTGTGTGGTACAAAATCAGTCTCCACCGAGCATCTTTGGAAGCTGCATTAGGCTGTCTCAGATCCCAGGTGCTATCTTGCTGCTTAAAAATGTTCACTCACTAATGGTTTTTGGAAAATATTTTATTTGGGGTAGACTTGAAGAAACTTCATCATAGCTGGGCCTGGTGGCTCATGCCTATAGTAACAGCACTTTGGAAGCCCAGGGCAGAAGGATTTTTTTTTTTTGAGACAGAGTTTGGCTTTTGTTGTCCAGGCTGGAGGGCGATGGTGCAATCTTGGCTCACTGCAACCTCTGTCTCCTGGGTTCAAGCAATTCTCCTGCCTCAGCCTCCTGAGTAGCTGGGATTATAGGCATTCACCATCGTGCCCAGCTAATTGTGTATATTTAGTAGAGATGGGCTTTCTCCACATTGGTTAGGCTTGTCTCAAACTCCTGACCTCAGGTGATCTGCCTGCTTTGGCCTCCCAAAAGTGCTGGCCTTTTTTTTTTTTTTTTTTTTTTTAAGATGGAGTCTCTGTCACACAGGCTGCAGTGCAGTAGTGTGATTTTGGCTCAGTGGAGTCTCCATCTTCTGGGTTCGAGTGATTCTCCTACCTCAGCCTCCTGAGTAGCTGGAACTACAGGCGGGCACCATGACACCCAGTTAATTTTTCGTATTTTAGTAGAGATGGGGTTTCACCCTGTTGCCCAGTCTGGTCTCGAACTCCTGACCTCAGGTAATCTGCACACCTTAGCCTCCCAAACTAGGCATGAGCCACTGCCCCTGACCTAGTCCAAGAAAGGAGAATTATTTGTGCCCAGGAGTTTAAAACTAGCCTGGGCAACATAGTGAGACGCTGTCTCTACAAAAAAATACAAACATTAGCCAGGCATGGTGGTGTGTGCATGTAGTCCCAGCTACTCAGGAGGCTGAGCTGAAAGGATTGCTTGAGCCTGGGAGGTAGAGGCCGCAGTGAGCTGTGTACCACTGCACTCCAGCCTGGGTGACAGAGTGAGAACCTGTCTCAAAAAATAAAGATAAAACCATCATTCTCAGCAAACTGATGCAAGAACAGAAAACCAAACACCACATGTTTTCACTCACAGGTGGGTGATGAACAATGAGAACAGCTGGGCACGGGAAGGGAACAACACTCACTGGGCTAGGTGGGGTGGGGAGAACAGCAGGGGGTGGAGAAGATGGGGAGGGATAACACTGGGAGAAATGGGGAGGATGGAGACAGCAAACCACCATGGCATGTATGTACCTATGCAACAATCCTGCAGGATGCAGGATGTGCATATGTACCCCAGAGCCCAAATACAATAAAAAAAAATAAAAAAATAAAGATTAAAATCAAGGAAAACAACCAACCAAACCAAAAACAAAACAAAAAACCCCACAACAAAAACACTTTACTGGCATTTCCTAGGATAATTCGGTAGCTGCATAAGAGAAGTCTTGGTTCGGATTTGATAGAAACCACTGTTTACAGAGTGCAATGTTTGTTATAATCTAGGCTATAATTAAATGTGAGACAGTAGAAATGTTATATGTAAAAAAAGAAAACTAGTTACAAAATGAAGTTGGATAGATATGTTGCTTTTCCAGATTAAGGGCAACATTCTATGTTTTACAATGTCTGTTATTCTGATTTTATGTTACTCTAACTTTATTTATTTATTTATTTTTGAGATGGAGTCTCGCTCTGTCACCAAGGCTGGAGTGCAGTGGTGTGATCTCAGCTTACTATAACCTCTGCCTCCCTGGTTCAAGTGATTCTCCTGCCTCAGCCTCCCCCAGTAGCTGGGATTACAGGCGCCTGCCATCACACCCAGCTAATTTTTGTATTTTTAGTAGAGAGACAGGGTTTTACCACGTTGGCCAGGCTTGTCTCAAACTCCTGACCTCAAGTGATCTGCCTGCTTCAGCCTCCCAAAGTGCGGGGATTATAGGTGTGAGCCGCAGCACGTAGCCATCTAACTTTAAATGTTATTCGTTAAAGTGGAATCTTTGTAAATGTTTTCAAGGACTCTCTATCCAGCATATTTCCCTAGGTTTTGCCAGATTTACAACTTTTAGGATAAAATTAGTTACCATTTAGAATAGAGGTTTTTTTTTTTCTTTTTTTTTCCCTACCCTGGGGTGTTTGTGCGATTGGTATTTTTAGCCTTATAAAAATAAGAACTACACTAACATAATTCTGAAGTTTTAATAGTTAAAGCAAGTATCAGAATAATTTTGAAATATTTGTTACAATAAGTATTTTTTGTCTTTCTTTCTCTCACATCTCATCAGTTCTTGTTTCCACAGTTGCAGCCATAGGGGAATGCCACCTTTTCTTTTTTCTTTTCTTTTTTTTTTGAGGCATTGTCTTGCTCTGTTGCCCAGGCTAGAGTGCAATGGTGCGATCTTGGCTCACTCCAGCCTCCGCCTCCCAGGTTCAAGCAATTCTCCTGCTTCAGCCTCCTGTGTAGCTGGGACTACAGGTACGCACTACCATGGCTGGCTAATTTTTGTATTTTTAGTACAGATGGGGTTTCTTCATCTTGGCCGGGCTGGTCTTGAACTCCTGACCTCGTGATCCACTTGCCTCAGCCTCCCAAAGTGCTGGGATTACAGGTGTGAGCCACTGCACCTGGCAGGAATGCCGTTTTTAAAGATGTTCTCATCCTCATCTTGGTTGAGACACATGAAGAACTTACTGGATGTTTTCTGAGAGCCTGTTCTTATGGCATGGCCAGATGCCTGAAGCATTTATCCACCAGGTTCTATGAATGGTCTTCATGGGATCTTGAAATAATAGGTGTATGAACCAAATATTTTTTGGGATTGCCAGTTGTTGTTTTAAGATGGGAGAGGATAACATTTAAAAATTTGGCGTTAGGCTGGGTGTGGTGGCTCATGCCTGTAATCCCTGCCCTTTGGGAGGCCAAGGTGGGTGGATCACTTAAGGTCAGGAGTTTGAGACCAGCCAGGCCAACATGGTGAAACCCTGTCTCTACTAAAAATACAAAAATTAGCTGAGCATAGTGGTGCACACCTGTAATCCCAGTCACTCAGGTGGCCGAAGCACAAGAATCACTTGAACAAAACAAAATCAAACAAAAACTTGGCATCAAATTAAATAACATTAAGTATTAATTGTAGTCTTAGAAAAAGACGTATTATATAGAATTAAAAATTCAAAGTTTATCTTGGGATGGTGACTCATGCCTGTGATCCTAGCACTTTGGGAGGCCAAGGTGGGAGGATCACTTGAGGCCAGGAGTTGAAGACCAACCTGGTCAACATGGTAAGACTCCATCTCTACAAAAAATAAATTAGCCACATGTGGTGGTGTGTGCCTGTGGTCCCAGCCACTTGGGAGGCTTAGGTGGGAGGATCACTTGAGCCCAGGAAGTTGAGGCTGCGGTGAGCCGTGGTGGCACCACTATCCTCCAGTTTAGGTGACAGAGTGAAACCCTGTCTCAAAAAAAGAAAAAAAAGTTTTACATTATCTCTATGGACATCTGATTTGAACAGGGGAATTCATTCACTTCTCACAACAACATAGGGATCATGATTTCTTAGCCACAGGGCAGGGATGGTTCTCTGGCTCCCAGCAGTGATTCTTTTTCCCTCAGGCCTGGGCAGATGATGTGGCACGGTTTCAGAAAATGTTCAGACACCCAAGTCACATGCAGCTGAAGGTAGTTGCTGGAAACCATGACATTGGCTTCCACTATGAGTAAGTAATTCAGGAAAGCACTGCACCCTGAGAGCTCTTCTTAACTGTAATTCTAAACCTGCTGGAATTCAGGTGAAAGCCCTATTCGTGCCATCTCGAAATTTGTTTTCCTCAAAAGATGTAAGCTCTGGGATGTTAAAGCCTTTAAGGGGTTTTTACTCTTGGTGCATAGTACACCCTCAACAAGTATCTGTGGAATGAATGAATTGTATGTGCCCTTGGGAAACATCTAACTTGAAATGTACATTTTATAGCCAATTATTTTCTTTGGGAATGAAAAAACAAGATCATTTAGACTTCAGTAACTAACATTTATATAGTGCTCTGGTGCTTATAATATGCCACCTGTTTCAAGTGCTTTACTTCCATATTTTAACACAGTAATCTTTACCATGGTCCTGTTTTACTTATGGCACCGATGTGGAATCTGAGGCCCTGGGCAGCTGAGTAACTTGCCCCAGGCTTCATAGTAAGTAGTGGAACTAAAATTTGAGCTTTGATACCCTGGGGCCAGCTTAAGTAACAATGCTAGTCTGAAACTCAAGTCCTGAAAGTTATTTTGTGTTCATGATAACTCTAGAGTTTCTAAAATGGCTTGTCCTGAAAAATGTTTCTTTTTACAACTGAATATAGGATGAATATATACAAAGTGAAACGATTTGAGAAAGTGTTCAGCTCTGAAAGACTGTTTTCTTGGAAAGGCATTAAGTGAGTATTATTTGTAAATTCTTCCAAGACCTTTACGACTTGAAAGCTTCATTTTTTAAAGGTGCCTGCCATACTGGGATGGATCATCTACCTGTGTTCTGTTTAGCCTGGTTTATGATCTTTAAATAGCAGTGCCTCATGCGGTCCTTGCTGGTGCTAACCATGGGAGCCGATGGATGGGAAACCTCAAAGCACCCTGGTTTTCCTTGATAACCCCACAGTGAATCAGTCAGTTTATGACTGCCCAGCCATTGTGGGAATGATATTCTATCTGCACTGTCTCTGGGTGGTACAAATTTCATGAGCCCACTTTGTAAAAGAGTCTTTATTTTATTTGATCAAAATTTACTACTTTCACTTTACAAAGACTGTTCCCATAGTACGGTGTCATGGGATTTGGTGGTAAGTGTGTCACAGTGCCTCTGTAGCTCTGTGCCAACCCTATCGGCCTGGGCTTTTAGACCAGAGCACCCTGACCCTTAGCCTGACCGTGAACACCAGCTCCCCACTCTGTAAGGCCACATCAGTGCCCATCTCTGGATCCTTTCTGGGCTGTGAATGTGGCTGCAGCACAGCGGACAGGACTTTATATCTTGATTATAGAAACGGTAGAGATTAAACAGGTGGGAGTAGAAGCCTTTTCTCTTTTAATCCTGCCTTTCTTGTGGGTGCCCGCACTCTGTTGACCTTGGCCACAGCAGGTTTGCAGATAAGGTCATCTCTGTCCAGTGGCTTCATCACCAGTGGTCACCTTTCCCTCCTTCTGCCAGGAGGGCAGAGTCTCTAGAAGGTGGCTTCCTCTGCTGACTCACTCATAATAGAAACATGACACAGTTTGAGTTATTGCCCTCTAAGCAGAGTGTTTAAGAAACTTTAGCGTATTATACTGCTTATCACTTGATAATTCCACTCCTTATCTCTCAAACGAGTTAAATGTCAAGCAGTCTTTACTGACGGGTACTTGAGTCATTCCAAGATGGTATGCGTATAGGAAATAAAAGCACATTTAGTGAGAGTCTATAAAAAATACAAGTGGCTGCTGAGTCTAACCAAAATGGACTTTGTTGTTACCACAGTTTGGGATTATCTATACCAGTTAGCTCCAACCAGCACCCTCCTCTCTGCCTTACTTGCTGTGTGTGTCCATATGTCACTGATGTGTCTGTGGTTCCCCCTACCTGGTAGTCAAAATACCTGACATGTACTGAGTACTTTCTAGTGGCAGGCTGTGTTCTAAATACCTGCCATGTCATTCATTGAATCCTCACAACAAGCTGATGGTGTGGGCAGATGAGACACTGTAACAGATGAGATTCTGGTTAGAGGATGAGCTTAGACATAGTCTGACTGCGGAGTGTCTGTAGTCTGGGATTTCTCACGAGTTTAGGGTCAAAAACCCTTCGATCGTGTCTTGGACTGAGCTCCCAGTAATGCTATTTTTGTTAATGTTGACTCATACTTAAAAATACATCCAATTATTCTGGGTGGGGTTGAAAGCTGCTCTGGGCTTGTTTCTTCATACTGGATGCTTAGCTTTCTTTGCATGGGAACAGTGGGGAAAAAAGCACCAGTACCACGGCTGGGCGCAGTGGCTCACACCTGTAATCCCGGCACTTTGGGAGGCCGAGGTGGGCAGAACACGAAGTCAGGAGATCGAGACTAACCTGGCCAACATGGTGAAATCTGCCTTTACTAAAATACAAAAAATTAGCCAGGTGTGGTGGTGCACGCCTGTAGTCCCAGCTACTCAGGAGTCTAAGGCAGGGGAATTGCTTCAATCCAGAAGGCAGAGATTGCAGTGAGCCGAGATTGTGCCAAGCACCAGTACCCCCAGTGGCCTCACCTGCCTTCTCCCCTCCACCTCAGCTTCGTGATGGTCAACAGCGTGGCGCTGAAAGGGGATGGCTGTGGCATCTGTTCTAAAGCAGAAGCAGAGCTCACTGAAGTTTCTCACAGACTGAACTGCTCCCGAGAGGTAGGAGAGCATCTGAACACCACAGGTGCCTTCTGTCCCATGTCACTCCACTTTTGTCTCTCACTCAGCACCCCGCCGCCATTCCTGCCCTTTGTTGAGTGTCAGGTGTGTGGATGAATGGCCTGATTTGTACCCAGCAGGTACATGGCTCCAGCAAGTGTGGACCTGGACCTCTGCTACCCACATCTGCCCCCATCCTCCTGCAGGTGAGCCCAGGGAGGAAGGAGCGCATGGCGGACAGCAGGCAGTCAGGGCTTCACTATAGCCACCTGACTCCTCTTTCCACCCTGTCAGCATTATCCTCTGTACCGGAGAAGTGACGCTAACTGTTCTGGTGAAGACGCTGCTCCTCCGGAGGAAAGGAACATCCCATTTAAGGAGAACTATGATGTGCTTTCTCGGGAGGCATCACAAAAGGTTTGTCAGGGTGTTGTGGTGCTGATTCATGCCACAGTGTGACTCGCATCACCTTGCATGTCAACAAGCAGAGCACCCAGGCTCGAGCAGGTATTCGCAGCAACGTTGATGACTTCGTTATCACCTGGGGACAGGGGTGGAGGCCTGGCTTTGACAGTATCCCGGATTTTCATTTAATTGCTTTATCTCTCTTTTTTTTTTAAATCAGTAAATCTACTTCTATTTCCTAACCTCAACTCAATAATATTCTCAGCTACTCTTTGTATTCAGTTTTTCACCAACTTAAATGTATTTAGAAATGTGAATGGAACTTAGAGTCAAATTTTTAGGGACTTAATTAAAAGGCATTTTCTTATATAGATTTATATAATACATATTACATTATATAAAAGATATAAAATAGGAAATATTTATAAGATAAAATATCATAAAGAGTATATAAAATCTGGGATGAGAACAGTAGATTCAAAGGGGCTGACCTTACCTTTGATTTGGTGTAAATAAACCAAAGGATTTTTAAGGAAAAAAATGAACTAGTCCTTCAACATAAGGGTTTAGTATTTAATTTAATGAAAGAAGCGATGGCCAGCGGCCGTCGGCTGGGCGGTGACAGTCCTGGCTGAGGGTGAGCTAACAGCCTGCTTTGCTGTCTTCTCGGCCGCCGTCAGCTGCTGTGGTGGCTCCAGCCGCGCCTGGTCCTCAGTGGCCACACGCACAGCGCCTGCGAGGTGCACCACGAGGGCCGAGTCCCCGAGCTCAGCATCCCATCTTTCAGTTGGAGGAACAGAAACAACCCCAGTTTCATCATGGTAAGGTGAAAGTTTATTTTTGTCTGAAAGCTTTCATAAGTATTTAAATCAACACACTCATCAACTATTTAATAGCTGCAATCTATAAAAATGTACAAAAGCCACACAATTTCCTTTCCTCTACACTTAGGTCCGTACACTGCCCCTTGCCAAACACCCTTTCAGGAACCAATTGGCATGACATTCTTGGGTGGTTAATGTAAAGAACGAGGGCAGGGTACCGTCCAGGTGGAATTTATCCTTCAGGGAAGGCAGTGTCCTCTCCTCTTACACTCTCTGTGTTTAATTTTCTAAAGAAACAACCATTTATTCATTAGCTATACTCAGCCATCTTCTCCTAGTTTCTAAACATGTCCATTTTCCCTGGCAGAGAATGCAACAGCCTTTGCAGGTGGATAAAAATGTTTCATGGTAGTTAATGACCACTGGGTGTTTTAACTCCTTTTAGCCATAGGCTCCTGCATCCAGCTCATGATGCTGGTATGTCAAGTTCTTTTACTTCATAAAAAGGTGAGGAAGCCCTAACATTTTAAGATTCAGAGTAAATTAAAACATTTGCCACTGTCATTCTGCATAAAAGTACCTGCAAAGAAAAGCCCACTGAGATGACCTGGACACATGTATTTCTAGGGAGTGATTGCTTAGCTCAGCATCAAGGGACAGGAAGACACCCATCCCTCCTGTTCCTCGCCAACTGATGACCCTGGAACTCCATGGTGCCTCTCTGAATCTCTGTTATGGAACCCCCACTATATTTGATGGGAACCCAGTGGGCCAGGGGCCAGTTTTGGCAGAGAGGTCGGTGTCCCAGACATTTGCCACTCAGGCACACTTGGGCCTTCCTTGTTTCTCCTGCCAGAGCCTGGGCTGGTCAGGGGTGACCTGTGCAGGCGGAAGGCCAGGCCCTCTTGGTCTCAGGTGAGGAGGGCCCCTTCCCTGTCTCACCTGAGGGGGACCTGAGAAGGCAGTCTTCCCTCTGTTGTTTCTAAGACTGTGGTGTTCAACCTGTGTCTGGTGCTCTCAGCCTAACTTTCTCTTCCCTTTTTCCAGGGTAGCATCACACCCACAGACTACGCCCTCTCCAAGTGCTACCTCCCACGTGAGCACGTGGTTTTGATCATCTACTGTGGAGCGGTGGGCTTCCTTGTGGTCCTCACACTCACTCACTTTGGGCTTTTAGCCTCACCTTTTCTTTCTGGATCAAACCTGCTCAGAAAGCATAAGACAAGGTAAAGAGCAGTTGACGTCTGCACTTAGCAATAAGTATCAAAACCCAAATAATGGAACTTTGGGCAGAGATCATGTTAGAACCAAGTGGATGTTGAGACCAATTATAGGCTGTCTCTCTGCAAATCACAGAAATTCTCAATCACTGAAATGAGTAATTGCAAAATAAATAGTTGATTGTACTGTTCTCATGCTATAAAAATGGACAGGTACTCTACAACAAATCTGTTTTCTCATTTTTATCAAATATATGTATCATCAAAGGTTGCATCTGTACAGTATGTAAATGCTATTAATGTCATCACTCACATGCACGACAGTCCTTGCTCCCCCAGGAAGGGCCTGATGACCCTAGCACACACTGAGATTATGTGTATACATAAATATTGGGCTTGTTTCCCTCTTCCTGTAAAGTGGTTCTCAAATTCCTATGTACTGTAAAGCTGTACCCTTAAAAGTACAGATGTGGCAGGGCACAGTGACTCACACTTGTAATCTCAGCAGTTTGGGAGGCCGAGACGGGTGGATCACTTGAGGTCAGGAGTTCAAGTCCAGCCTGGCCAACATGGTGAAACCCCATCTCTACTAAAAATACAAAAATTAGCCAGGTGTGGTGGCAAGCACCTGTAATCCCAGCTACTTGGGAGGCTGAGACAGGAGAATCCCATGAACTCGGGAGGTGGAGGTTGCAGTGAGCCAAGATCGTGCACTCCAGTCTGGGTTAAAGAGCAAGACTTTGTCTCAAAAATATATTTTTTAAAAAAAGTACAGATGTGATGTGGAGGACATATGTTTTGTAGATTTTTATACTTGATAAATTAATGGATCAGATTTTTAGATAAGTGTAGTTTTCTCTACAGGAGACTAAGTTGATACATCTGATAATGTCTGTCAATGATCAAAAGAGACTTGAAACATGGAATGGGATATGGCTTTTGGTACTTGAAAATAAATGCTTTAATAATTTTAAGCTGGATAAAATTTATTCTTTTTGTTTTTTTCTTAAAAATCTGGCTCTTGTATGAATTAAACTCTTAAACAGGATGTTTAGTTAGAGGGTAATTGTTGAGTGATGATGCATACAACACCACACTTCCTTTTCTTGCGGGGGGTGTAGCTTTGCAGTTTCTTGTTTTACTTCGACAGTGCCGGGGAACTGAAAATGATTTCCACTGTATTTATCTTAGTTCAGCTGAGGGTTTTATGAGACAGTGGATAGGAGGGGCAGGAAGATGGCGATGAGATAAAATATGTGTGTGTCGCATGGACTGTCTACAAAGTTGTCATCCTTTCTTCATGAAAAAGCATTTAAATCTGGATGAGTTTATAAAGGATTACAAAATGCTGATTTATAGAGTAAACTTTAAAATATTAAAGACTAAAGACTGAAAGGCGAGTAATTAAGTAATGTAGGCTGTCACTTTTCTAGATTTGTATTGTTGAAAATTTAACTTTGGGCATCTTTACAGATTATTTTAGACCTACAAAAACTACTTTCAACTCTGTGGCTACAGATAGAATGTGAAACGTTATCGCTACAACAATTCCTACTTTCTAGATATTGTTTGTGTGCATAATGTTTGAGGCTGTATTTGTAAATCTTGCAAGTGTGAGAAAGAGCCATATCTTTTGAGATTATACTTCAAATTAAGGTTTTGCAATGTTTCTTCTTCAAAAGGCAAGTGAAGCTGTCATCCTTATTCTCCTAGGCCAGACACAAATGTCGACACATCATGTTTTGTTTTTCTCTTGCCATTTGTTTACTTGTCTGATGTAGCCTGTGTCCAGAGTTTTGACTGAGGGAGTCATTGCCCTGTTTCCACTTAGGGAAGTTGAAGAAGTCTTTCATTAGCAGAGTAATTAGGAAACATATTGTCTAGAGAGAGAGAAAAAGAAAATCCCTGGTTCTCTGAAAGATGAGATTGTGATTTGTACCAGTGAATTGAGTTCAGGTTTTTATAGCTCAGAGAAGTAGGAGCAGGTGGTTGCAACAGCTTGTGATGTTGGTACGGCATTGTTGGTAGAATGTGGATGATGAATGTGTATAATTTACAATTTTTTAAATCAAGGAGTATTTTATAAAGTGCCAACCTGATAAAAGATCCTAAATTCTATAGCTACCATTCATTCCCTTTTTCAGAGTAAGCAGCAGGTAATGTTGACATTAAGCTATTCAGCACAATACAGACACATGTCATGTACAGGTATAGATAGCCATGGTAAAGGCACAAAGATCTACAAGAATTTTTCTTTAGTAGTTATACAAAAGAATGTTACATTTGTGGTCTGTACAGTAAAACAAACCAGCAATAGGACAACAGCAAAGAATCTAAGAAGATTATGCCTAAGTATAGTGAAAGTTTAGAGAATCATTTTTAGACAGGACACGTTTTGCAGTAGTGAATGTGGTAGGTTTTCTGCCTAAATGTAAGAGGCTCAAAGTAGCTCTAATTCAGATGCCTGAGGCCAGCAGCAACTCCAAATGTGACCGTAAAAGGGTTTCTGGTCACTCTGTTGCTTGGGGTTGACTCTAAGTCTTGGGCCAAGGCTGATGGGAAGGGACCATTGCTCCTCAGCCCGCAGCTTCATAAAGGGAAACTCAGAGGCTGAGCTGGGAGCACTGGACATACGCTCTTGCAGTAACGCTTGATAACGTGAAAAAACCCAAACTGCGTTTTCTCCCCATCTACCAAGTTCTCAGTGAATCAATAAATGAGAATGAATAAAGGGGCCCCCACCCAGAGAGAGTCTGCTGCAGTGTCAGCAAGTGAGAGTCAGTGGTTTGGGGGTGGGATGCTGCAGAAGGTTGTGTTCAATGACAACATTAGCTACACAACCAAACCTGAGGGGACAGAGGTAGCCAGAGGCTTGGTGGTCGACACAGAACAGGACAGACGGCAGCGAGATGGAACTAGAGACTCTGCCTCCTACCATGGCGTGGGGCCGGCAGACAGGCAGTCCCGGGCGCCGCTTGGTCGCGGGGTGGCAGCAGCGCCCTCACAAGAGCTCGTACTGCTTGAGGTGCATCCGCTGGATGATGTCGCGGCAGTCGTTGAACACCCTGCGGATGTTCTCTGTGTCCACGGCGCAGGTGAAGTGTGGGTAGCAGTAATGTTTGCCGTCGCCGGTGGCCGTGCTGATCCTCTGCAAGAGAGAGCATGTGCACTAGGCTTGCGCGGCCCCAGCACACACCTAGAGGGAGTACTAGGCCACACTGAGCAGGTGCTGGAGGCTGCTTAGCCTGCTTGTTTTGCATGGAAGCACTTAGAGGCAGGAACAGTCTCAATGCAACAATCCACTGGGGACCCAGAGAACCTTACCCTTATCACTGCCCCCACGAGGCCGAGGCAGCACGGACAGGTCAGAGAAAGCTCAAGGCAGGCAAGTCAAGGGAGGAGCTTCCAGAAAGGAAGGTCTGCACAGAGCTTTCTGCGACAATGGGAATGATGTCCTCTATCTGCCCTGCCAATATGATAGCCACTATCTAGCTGATACCACCGAGGGGCTGATTTCTAATTAGCTAGTTTTTGTTTTTCTTTTTTGAGACGGAGTCTCGCTCTGTCCCCCAGGCTGGAGTGCAGTGGCGTGATCTCGGCTCACGGCAACCTCTGCCTCCTGGGTTCAAGCGATTCTCCTGCCTCAGCCTCCTGAGTAGCTGGGATTACAGGTGCCTGTCACCATGCCCAGCTAATTATTGTATTTTTTTTTTGAGACGAAGTTTCACTCCTGTTACCCAGGCTGGAGTGCAATGGCGTGATCTCGACTCACCGCAACCTCCGCCTCCTGGGTTCAGGCAATTCTCCTGCCTCAGCCTCCTGAGTAGCTGGGATTACAGGCACGCGCCACCACGCCCAGCTAATTTTTTGTATTTTTAGTAGAGACAGCGTTTCACCGTGTTGACCAGGATGATCTCGATCTCTTGACCTCGTGATCCACCCGCCTCGGCCTCCCAAAGTGCTGGGATTACAGGCTTGAGCCACTGCGCCCGGCCTGTATTTTTAATAGAGATGGGGTTTCACCACGTTGGTCAGGCTGGTCTCGAACTCCTGACCTTGTGATCCGCCTGCCTTGGCCTCCCAGAGTGCTGAGATTACAGGCATGAGCCACCGCGCCTGGCCAGCTCGTTTTAATTCAATGTCCACATGTGCCCAGAGGTTCTGTATTGTATAGTGCAGAGACCCGATGGCTGCCTCCACACAGGGGCAGTTTAACATCTACTAAGCAGGGTGTCCCTTTGTTATCAGGGGAATGTTCGTAGCCTTTTGGGAGACAAGTGCTCTGTTGTCAAGTACCTGGGAAACAGCATTAGACACTGTGAGTTATGGTTTGTGGGGATACCTTAGTGATGTGCTCATGTGCATTGTGAAGCTAAGTGCAGTGGGTGTGGGGCGAGGCTGTTATGGGCCAATCTGTGTTCCCTAAAGTTATGTGGTATCTCCGAACCTCTGATGTAACTATATTTGGAGATAAGGCCTTTAAAGAGGCAATTAAGGTAAAAGAGGTCTTTAGGGTGGGCCCTAATGCAATACGACTGGTGTCCTTATGAGAATAGGAAAGCAGGAGCATGCAGCCAGGTGCAGAGGGAAGACCCCGTGAGACACAGGGAGAAGGCGGCTCTGCATCAACTCTGCCCACACCTTGATTTCAGACTTCCAGCCTCCAGAGCTGTGAGAAATACATTTTTGCTGTTTAAGCCACTCAGCCTCTGGGGCACTTTGTTACGGCAACCTGGGTCAATTTTGACAGAGGTCCTATGAAGCTTGCCTTCTTTTTTTTGTACCACAGGAATCCCTGGGCCTCCTCCTCATCCCCTCTACTCCTTTTTCTACAAGGCATCCCATGAAACAGCCTTTAGATAGCTGCTTGTGGCCAGGAACAGTGGCTCACATCTGTATTCCCAGCACTTTGGGAGGCGGAGGTAGGCGGATCACCTGAGGTCTGGAGTTCGAGACCACCTAGACCAACATGGAGAAACCTGTCTCTGCTAAAAATACAAAATTAGCCAGGAGTGTTGGAGCATGTCTGTAATCCTAGCTACTCTGAAGGCTGAGGCAGGAGAATCAGTTGAACCTGGGAGGCGGAAGTTGTGGTGAGCCGATATTGTGCCACTGCATTCCAGCCTGGGCAAGAAGAGTGAAACTCTGTCTCAAAAAAAAAAAAAAAAAAAGACAGCTCCTTGGACCACAGAAAGGGCAGCTGCTTGGACCACAGAAAGGGTATCCTGAAGATGTCATGAGGTATGAAACACTTCCCAGGGGCACAGACTTATTTTTGGCAATAGTCGTGATTCTTTTGAGCATTAAAAAAAAAAAACAAAAAACTTATGGACACTGAAATGAGTAGGTTATACATCTTTTTATTCCTAAATTACCAGGTGAGGTATTTGGCACACACACATTAAGTATGTAGTGAATGAGTGAAAAATGGGCTTTTGGCTGGGTACAGTGGCTCATACATGTAATCCCAGCACTTTGGGAGGTGGAGGCAGAAGGATCACTTGAGGCCAGGAGTTCGAGACCAGCCTGGACACAGTCTGTATCATAGTCTCTAACATAGCAAGTCTCTGTCTCTATAAAATTTAGAGATAGAGAGGTGTGGTGGTGTGTGCCTATAGTCCCAGCTACTCAGGAGGCTGAGGCAGGAGGACTGCTTGAGCCCAGGAGTTGGAGGCTGCAATAAGCTATGATCCTGCCACTGGACTCCAGGCAGCCTAGGTGACAGTGGGAGGCAATGTCCCAAACAAACAAACAACAAATGGCTTTCTTCTGTAATAGTGGGACTATTTGTCCCTGCCTAGAGCCTTAAAATGAAGGGAATGGAGTCATTACAAAGGTTGTTGCTTCAAATAGTTTTTTTTTTTTTTTTGAGATGGATCGTTGCTCTGTCACCCAGGCTGGAGTGCAGTGGCACAATCATAGCTCACTGCCTCCTGAGTAGGTGGGCCTGTGCCACCATAGCCAGGTAAATTTTAAAATTTTTTCTTGATATGTTATCTAGGCTGATGTTGAACTTCTGGCCTCAGGTGATCCACTTGCCTTGGCCTCCTAAAGTGTTGGGATTACATGTATGAGCAACCACATCCAGACTAAATGTTTCTAATCTTCATTTAAGTGCCCAACATATGCATGCTTAATTAACATTTAGTTCTCGGCCCAGTGAGTGGCTCACGCCTGTTATCCTAGCACTTTGGGAGGCTGAGGCAGGCAGATCACGAGGTCAGGAGTTTGAGACTAGCCCTGACCAACATGGTGAAACCTGTCTCTACTAAAAATACAAAAATTAGCTGGGTGTGGTGGTGTGCACCTGTAATCCCAGCTACTCAGGAGGCTGAGGAAGGAGAATCACATGAACTTGGGAGGCTGAGGTTGCAGTGAGCTGAGATCACGACACTGCACTCCAGCCTCCGTATCAAAAAAAAAAAAAATTAGTTCTCATTAGAATACCATTCTATGTGTCTTTATATGCTATGGTTTTACAAGATGCTCCTTAAAAAAGGGATCCCTTGATCTATTACAAACTAAATTCCCTTATTGAAGAGATTTGCAATGCACATTAACTGGCCTTAAGTAAAGTCTCTGAGAATGTGACCCACTCAGAGAGAGGCAGAGGACCTTCTCTTGCTGTATTTAACAGAGCATGTCCCAGATCTATTCAGCTGCAGAAGCTCTCCCAGTGCTGCCATGCACTTCTGGGGGAACACTGGTTCCTCTGAACTCATCCTGGGGCCTTGATTTCTCGTCATTGTTACTTTCTAACTTACTGTAGGATTCAAGAGTCATCCCACAGGGGTATGGTAGGAAGAGGGTGGTGAAAGGCCAGGCTGGAGTGTCCGTCTCCGTGGAAAGGCCCCCCCAGGCTAAGACCTTGTCCACATGTGTTAAGTGAACCTGGAGTACTACAGGCAACATGCCCTTAGGAATGCCTTGGCATGTAGTAATTTGAAGTGAGTAAAAACTCACAGCTAGCAATATACTATAGGTTATTTCAAAGAAAAACATATAGATAGATAAAGCACATGTGGCAAATTTTTGCCAACTGGTCAATTTGGGTAAAGAGTATATGGGAGTCTTTTTTCTTCTGAGGAAGAGTCTTACTCTGTCGCCCAGCCTGGAGTGCAGTGGTGCCATCTTGGCTCACTGCAACCTCTGCCTCCTGGGTTTAAGCGATACTCCTGCCTCAGCTTTCAGAGTAGCTGGGATTACAGGCGTGTGCCACCATGCCCAGCTAATTTTTTGTATTGTTAGTAGAGTCGGGGTTTCACCATGTTGGCCAGGCTGGTCTCAAACTCCTGACCTCAGGTGACCCACCTACCTTGGCCTCCCAAAGTGCTGGGATTACAGGCGTGAGCCACCACACCCAGCCTGAGTATATGGGAGTTATTTGTACAAATCTTCTGCCTTGTATGTGAGTTTGAAATAATCTCAAAATAAAAAGCCCAAGAAAAAAGAGTAAATATCTGAATTTGAGCACATCCATTTTTACATAAACCATCAGGCTGCTAGTGCTTCTGGATGAAGGAAGAGGATGGGTGCTTAGACTCTGCTGAAGAACGCTGTCCTTTTTGGAAAATATAACAAGTGAATGAACTCTATCCTAAGTGCCGTTCCGCAGCGCACTGTTTTCTCATCCAGGCTCTGCTGCTTGGAAGCTGTGTGACCTTGGGTAAGAAATCTAACCTCTCTGAACCTCAGTGTGCTCAGCTGTGAAATGAAAGTAACATATACTTTCTCACTCTTATAATGTTAAGGAAGATTAAATGAGATCATCAAACAGTAAGTAATTTGCATATTACAAAAAACAAAAGATTAAGAAGGAGGTATTAAAACAAAGGTGAACAAAATTGCTTACCAGAAACAGGTCCCGGATAAAGAACTTGGCTCTTGTAACTTTGGGATCTTCTCCAGCATCTGGTGTTGCTGTAGAAATTACAAATGGAACTTTAGTTAAGCAACATGAAACAAAGATACAACTCTATGAAAATGAAGGAATTTCAGTGTTTGCTGTATATTCACAGCATTAAATTATGCTTTTAATATACAGAAATCCTGAAATTCCTTCTATGAAAACACAGAAGGAAATTCAGGATTGCTGTATATTCAGAGCATTGAAATACATGTAAAGCAAGGCAAAAACAAACGTAATTTCCTTTTCTTTTTTTTTTTTGGAGACAGAGTCTTACTCTGTCACCTAGACTGGAGTGCAGTGGCATGATCTCGGCTAACTGCAATCTCTGCCTCCCAGGTTCAAGCTATTCTTCTGCCTCAGCCTCCCAAGTAGCTGGGATTATAGATGCCAGCCACCACACCTGGCTAATTTTTGTATTTTTAGTAGAGATGGGGTTTCACCATGTTGGCCAGGCTGGTCTTGAACTCCTGACCTCAGGTGATCTGCATGCCTAGGCCTCCCAAAGTGCTGGGATTACAGGCGTGAGCCACTGTGCCCGGCCTGTCTGAGGAATTCTGGTGTGTGTGTTCCCATGCCAGCATCACTACGATTGAAACAATGAGCTCAGCCAGCCCCTCCCACAGGGTCTGCATCCCCTCTGCAGCCCTTCTTCCCCAGGCAACCACCAATGTGCCTGTCATCCTGTGTAAGTCTGTACCTTCTAGACATTTACACAAATGCATTCACATGGCATGTAGTTTTTGCTTTGATTCTTTCTCTCAGCATAATTACTGTGAGTTTCACCCATGCCGTCACATGGACCAACGGTTTGTTCCCTTTTATTATTAAGTGAGAGGTGAGGATGTTGGAGTTGATGGTGGGCCCAGGCTTCCAGCAGGTGCTACAGATGCTCAGGGATGGTTGAATCTCTTGGGAGGGGCAGGGCACAGATGGAGATGACACATAATGCTGGGTGAAGAGTGGTCACTGGGCCTGGCACAAAGGCAGCAAGCCAGGGTCCCCTCAGCCCTTGGATGAAAGCCCTTCAGCACCCCCGGATGGACAGGTGGCCACAGCCATCAGCCAGTGGTGGTGCTTCTCCCTGGTGCCCCTAAGTGGGTAAGGTTGTGTCTCAGAAGGATGACTTTGGTAGAAGTTCACAGAATGTTCTGGAAAGGTGACTGACCAGCTACAGGAGGTCAGGCAAGCTGTGGCAGCTGCTGAGATGAGGGGAGTGAGGGCCAGGATCACAGCTATGAGGAGGGAAACAGGGAAGGGCATGGAGAGGTGGACACTGTGGGAGCGCCCCCCAGAGCCACTGCCTGAGCTGAGTGATGGGAAGTGGCAGGAGGTGGTTAGCAGGAGAATGAAAGACCCAGCTTGCTGGGAGACTGGCAATGCGAGCCACAGAATGCACAGCAGAAGCCATGCTCTGTGGCAAGAGGCACCCAGCCTCAGTCCTGGAAAGCACATCACCAGGCTGCAGGTAGAGCCAGGGGGTGATGAACTGCAATGAGATTTCCACTTGATTTGGCCTCGGGAAGAGCCTAGACCTTGTGCTGACTGACACTCTGGCAAGTGTAGGGGCTGCACCGCTCATTGAAAGCAGCTGGGTCTGGTGAGACCACAGGCAGAGCTGGCGCTCAAGCCCATTTCCAAAGTCCGATTGAGGAAATATCTAGCAGTAGGATCTTTTTCAGGTCTTTCTGACACAGGTGACAGTAGCAGGATTTTATTGGAAGACCCCACACAGGTCAGGATTTTACTATGAATATACTTATATAATGCCTGTCCCCTGAGGGAGAAAAGAACATTGACCATAAGGAGCAAGAAAATTTAATGACAAATGCAAGTTTTCTTTTCCCTCTTCATTGAGGATAAAAAATAAAATTTCCAAATCTTAACTGTATTTTCCAGGAAAGTCTGTTTTATTCTGTGTTATCTAGTTTTGAATTCGAGAGGTAAGAAGTGGTGTGATTTCGCCTTACGTCACTCCTATGAGCCTCTGGTAGACCTGGTGCTCACTGGAAACTGAAGTGTAAGCAACTGGAAATGGAGTGGCCAACTCCTCCTGGTTTACCTTCCTGGCTTTAGCACTGCCAGTCCTGTGCCCTGGAAACCCCAGTTTCAGGCGGCCTAGGATGGTGCTGGCCCTGCTGGAAATTCCCAAGGCTGCAGCCACAGCAAGGCTGGAGAAAGGAGCAGGTAAGAGCAGCTGCTGCCAGCGCGGGCGTGGGGACAAAGGGTGCAAGGACTGCCTTGCCTGTGTGGTTCTACCCATGTGGCCTTGAATATATGATTTCTCCTCTCTCAGACTCTCATGCAGGGTCATCTGAGGGTGAAGCAAGAAGGTCTGTATCACGGACTAACAAGGCCCCCTTCATGTCACACCCAGTCAAAGGCACTAGAGGGAGAGTTCATACCAGCATGACACACTCACACCCCAAAACGGCTCCTTCTTTTGCTGCACAGTTTCAATGGAAAGTCAAACTCGGAAACATTTACAGACAGGATCTTAAATAGGACATTTTAATGCTCTAGTACTACAGGATATGGGCAGTAGAAAGAGAATTGATTTAAATTAAGTGAATTTTTTAGATTCATCAGAAGTATCTGAATTAGAGTTACAGGATTATTAATAAAACAATTCTATTTCTCAATCATAAGAATGTGTTCTGAAATCTTACCATCTTCAGGAACAGTATAATTTGCATATTCTGGGAAATAGTCTTCAATTTTTGATTTCCCTGCCAAGACTTTTTCTGCCAGCATATCTTGTTTGTTCAAGAACAAGATGATAGAAATGGTCCGTAACCACCTAAAAAAGAGAAATAAATATACAAATTTCACATACACTAGTATATGAAAGCGCTAACACAGAAGTTGCTAAATTAAAAGAATATCATCATCTTCCTAAAAATGTATAGGATTCAAGAAAATTCAACATACTATCCTCATTCCATCTGTAAACAATGACAAACACTCACAGGTACAAGCTGAGCATCCCTAATCTGAAAACACAAAATCCGAAAATTTTTCAGCACTGACATGATCCTCAAAGGAAAAGCTTGTTGGAGCATTTCACACTTTGGATTTTCATATTAGGGATGCTAGACTAGTAAGAATCATTCAACTATTCCAAAATCAAAAAAATCAGTAATCTGAAACACTTTTGGTCCCAAGTGTTTTGGAGAAGGGATACTCAATCTGTAGTTAAGCAGTTTCTAATTCAGTGCCATGGGGTATATAAATTTATTGGAACCAAAGCTAAGATTTAATTATGTAATGAGTTCACTTGGATTTCTGTGGTGTAATTTGCCAATAAAGGTCAGAAAACTCACACTAGAAGTGAAAGTGTTAATAACAACAAAATACTCCATGACTCATTAGCTAATAACACAGAGCTTAACTTGCAGCTGGCTTGGTTCTTCTCCCTCCCTCACTTCAAAGAAATCCAAGCTAATTTATTAGTCTACTGGAATGTTACTATCAATTAAAAACACAATCTAGCTGGGTGTGGTGGCTCACGACTGTAATCCCAGCACTTTGGGAGGCCAAGGTGGGTGGATCATGAGGTCCGGAGCTCGAGACCAGCCTGACCAGCATAGTGAAACCCCATCTTTACTAAAAATATCAAAACTTGCTGGGCGTGGTGGCACACACCTATAATCCCAGCTACTCAGGAGGCTGAGGCTGGAGAATCACTGGAACTGGGGAGGTGGAAGTTGCTGAGATAGTGCCACTGCACTCCAGACTGGGGGACAGAGCGAGTCTCCATCTCAAAAAAACAAAACAAAAAACAAAAAAACTCCACAATCTATTTTCCCCTCAAATGGAAATAGCTTACCTGCTTCTTCTAGTAATAAAATATATAATTTTTGTAAAAACAACTCTTAAATTATAGAAAAACATGCAGAAAAAATCAAACGTAATTATACCCAGAAACAATTACTATAGAAGTTTTATATTTTTATGCACAAGTTTTTTTCTGTCCTCACGTATATTTATAAAAACAAGATCATAATATTTCAAAATCTGCTTTTTCATATAAAAATATTGTGGTCACTTTCCCACTTATACATATAGTGTATATATTGAAAATAACTCTATAGTATTCTTCTGTATACCTGGGATTTCCTGATTCTGTTTCTTTCCCATTAACTCTCTTCATATCACAAATTGGAGGATAATTGTTGAACATTTGATAGAAAGACACTCTTCCGATAACCAAAACTTTTACAAGCTAAACTTATGTTTCCTATCCTCCTTGGTGATATTTCTTCCTAAATACTTCAGAAGAAACTTTGATTTCTAACTATATATGTCTTTATTGTGTGTGTGCACACACTAACTATTCCTTTCTGAAATAATCTCTTCTGCCACTTTGAAATGCTAGTAGTTTCAAACATGAATGTGGTGACTGTGAGCTATAAGGGATCTTAGAGGTCATCTTAGCTATTAATGGATGTCATAAAATGGTATTATTTATTTATTTATTTGTTTATTAAATTTAAAAAAAATTATTTTTTGAGACAGAGTCTCACTCTGTGGCCTAGGCTAGAGTGCAGTTGCGCAATCTCAGCTTACTGCAACCTCCACCTCCGAGGTTCAAGCCATTCTCCTGCCTCAGCCTCCCAAGTAGCTGGGACGATAGGTGCCCACCACCACACCCAGCTAATTTTTTATTTTTAGCAGACACGGGGTTTCACCATTTTGGCCAGGTTGGTCTCAAACTCCTGACCTCAGGTGATCCACCTGCCTCAGCCTCCCAAAGTTCTGGGATTACAGGTGTGAGCCACTGTGACCAGTCCCTAAATTGGTACTTCCTAAAATTTAAAAACCAAACAAAACCTATTTTGAACGCTAGCTATAGAGTCATCTCTTGATAGCCACGGGGGATTGGTCTAGGACTCTCTGTGAATACCAAAATCTGAGGAGGCTCCCTTATATGAAATGGTGTAGTATTTGCATATAACCTGAGCACATCCTCCCATACGCTTAAATCATCTCCTCATTACCTACGATACCTATCACAAATGTAAAAGCTAGGTAAGTACTTGTTATACTGTAGTGTTTCTTATTTGTATTCTTATTTTTTAGTCTAATTTTTTCTTTGCTAAATTTTTAAATTAATTAATTAACTTTTTTGAGACAGAGTCTCCCTCTGTCGCTCAGACTGAAGTGCAGTGATGCAACCTCAGCTCACTGTAATCTCTGCCTCCTGGGCTCAAGTGATCCTCCTGCCTCAGCTTTCCAAGTAGCTGGGACTACAAGTGCGTACTGCCATACCTAATTTTTGTATTTTTGTAGAGATTGTGTTTCAAAATGTTGCCTAGGCTGGTCTCGAACTCCTGAGCTCAAGCAATTCCCCTGTCTCAGCCTCCCCAAATGCTGGGATTACAGGGGTAAGCCACTGTGCCTGGCAATTCTGTATTTTGTTGTTGTTGTATTGCTATCTTAAATTTATTTTTGAATGTTTTCAAACTGTGGTTGATTGAATCCACAGATGTGGAACCTGAAGATATGGAAGGCTGAATGTAATCTTAGGCTTTCAAAACAGAGATTTAAATTTTCTTGAAAAAGAAACCATCAGAACTTCATCAAAGAACACTCCACATTTTATATGTCTATACAATAGATGAACCAAAAGAGATACTTCTTACGGTTCTGGATTTATCAGTAAAGAGAGAGAGAGAGTGTGTGTGTCAGCCTGTCTGTGTGTGTTTGTGTGTTTTGAGATAGGGTCTTGCTCTGTTGCCCAGGCAGGCGTGCAGTTGTGTGATCTCAGCTCATTGCAACCCTCACCTCCTGGGCTCAAGCGATCCTCCTACCTCAAGCTCCTGAGTAACTGGTACAGGTGTGTACCACCACACCTGGCTAATTTTTCTATTTTTTGTAGAGACAAGGTTTCTTCATGTTGTCCAGGCTGGTTTCCTACTACTCCTGGGCTCAAGTGACCCACCTTACCTCGGCTTCCCAGTGTTGAGATTACAGGTGTTAGCCACAATGCCTGGCCTGAGCATATTTTTAACAAAAGAAAATTTGCAATCAGTAGTGAGACTGAATTTGTTATTTTTATCACCTGTTGTTCCAGATGCTTTCAAAAAGATCGAGGGACTCTCTTAGCCGGTTGGTATTGTTATCTTCTCGAATCACCATGTTGTAGCTACTGCAGGCTGCGACGTAGATGATAGCTGTGACGTCTTGTGGGGTGAAAAGAGAAAAAATAAAGCATCTCAGGTAGAAATCCTTCCTGTGAAGTTACATGAAAGTACACACCCAGAAGCTACTCAGTTCGTCAAAACATTCGTTCAATGATAGGACTATTCAGTCACAGAACAGCCTGGATGTGCACCACGCGCATCACTTGTTGTTTCAGTAAATACTGATGAAGCACCTACCCCAAAAGACACATGTAAATTTGGGATGCTTACATGCTTTTTTTTTTTTTTTTGAGGTGGAGTTTCACTCTTGTCTCCCAGGCTGGAGTGCAATGGCATGATCTCGGCTCACTGCAACCTCCAGCTCCTGGGTTGCAAATAAGCTGGGTGTGGTTGCCTGAGCCTGCCTCAGCCTCCCCAGTAGCTAGGATTACAGGCCTATCATCACATCTGGCTTTTTTTTTTCTGAGACAGAGTCTTGTTCTGTCGCCCAGGCTAGAGTGTAGTGGTGTGATTTTGGCTCACTGCAACCTCTGCCTCCCAGATTCAAGCGATTCTTTTGCCTCGGCCTCCTGAGTAGCTGGAACTACAGGGATGCACCACCATGCCCAGCTAATTTCTGTATTTTTAGTAGAGACAGGATTTCACTATATTGGCCAGGCTGTCTCAAACTCCTGACCTCATGGTCCACCTGCCTTGGCCTCCCAAAGTGCTTTCAAACAGGATTACAGGTGTGAGCCAATGTGCACGGCAATTTTTGTATTTTTAATAGAGCCAGGGTTTCACCATGTTGGCCAGGCTGGTCTTGAACTCCTGACTTCAGGTGATCTGCCCTCCTCAGCCTCCCAAATTGCTGGGATTACAGGCGTGAGCCACTGTGCCTGGCCCTTAAATGCTTATTAAAAATGAGATTAGTATCTAAGGAAAGAGCTTCATAATAATCTATAAAATGCTATACTTTACATACTAATTAGATTAGAGATTATCTAATTCAAAAATAGTTTGTTAGAATTCACTCCCATTTTCTTGAGAGAGCATGAAAATCACCGTTAAAGCACTGGATCCATTTTCTCCTCTCATCCCTCTGGCCACCAACATCAAACATGCTGTGGAAGAGCAAGAGGAACACAATTATTTGAGGGAAGCAGGGGACAACGGCACACATGCTTGCTTTCCTCCTTTATCATCAGCAGGTTCCAGCGATCACACCTGGGTCTGAGTCAGGCTTGGGTCACTGTCTGGCCTGCACCATCACTCCCTGTGTGATCCTGGACTACAAGTGGCTCCACCTCTCTCAGCCACTGTCCCTCCTCTGTCACCCCACAGTGGGGCTACAGGGGTGAGAGATCAAGCAGACAGCAGCCGGCAGTGTCTGAGGTCACACAGTAGGTCTATAATAAATGCAGTAGTTACTAGCTCAGTAATGCTAGAGGTTACTTGCTCAGACACTAAGGCCTCTCTGAGTACAAGCTAAGTCCCCGCCCAGGGCAGATTCTTCTTATGATTTATTCCAGCTCTCAGGACACTGTAAGCGGGAGTGTCCTCATTCCCCTGGAGAATTGAGAAAGGTTCCTTGCTGATCTGTCGATACTACATGTGTCTTGTCTCCAGCCGCCTCTGCCTGGTGACCTGCAGTAGGTCTTTATCACTTCCCTGATTTAGTTCAGGCTTCTCTGCCCAGCCTGAGTCACTCCCTGGTCTTGCCCAGCAAAGGTGACCTCAGCCAGTTCTCTCAGTTTCTCAGCTACATCCTGCACTTCATCAGGCCAGTCCCAGGCCCCTCTTCTCACAGCCCCTACCCAGTGCACCCTGTGGCCTAAGCCATAGAGTCATACATGCCGAAGGGGACTGGGAAAGGTATAGGGCAGTATACCATCAAGGGTTGCATAGTAGATGCAATGGGAATTCTAAGGGCTCACCATGGGCTGAGATCTGAGGGATGCTCAGATGCTTTTTTTTTTTTTTTTTTTTTTTTTTTTTTTTTTTTTTTAGTGACAGGGTCTCACTCTGTCACCCAGGCTGGAGTGCAGTGGCATAATCATGGCTCACTGCAGCCTTGAACTCCTGGGCTTAACAGATCCTCCCACCTCAGCCTCTTTAGTTTTTTTTGTTTTGTTTTGTTTTGGTAGAGACAGGTTCTTGCTATGTTGCCCAGGCCGGTCTTCCCTGGCCTCAAGCAATCCTACTGCCTTGGCTTCCCAAAGTGCTGAGATTACAGGCAGGAGCCACTATGCCTGTCCTGACGGAAGCTTTGATAGATCTGTGGGGTTTGCTTAGCCCATGCAGAATCTGAGGCTCAGAGGACAAGATGAATAGAGGTGCTGTAGCAGGAAGAGCTGGGAGAACTCAAGGGTCCTGACAGCAACCCAGCCTGGTGAGGCAGGTGGCAGGTGGTAAAGCAGGGCTGGGGGTGGGGCAGGTCACAGGTGGAGGGCTTGGGTCATAGAATGCACAGGCAATAGTGATCCCCGAACCATTTTCAGCAGAGGAATAGCACAATCCAGGCCATGCTGTGGGAAGATCCATTTCATGGTGCTGAGTAGGGCAACTGGAATGGGTAAGCTAGCAGATAGGAGACCAGCCAGGGCCCTGCCGAGAGAGTCTAGGCACGGGGGAAGTGACGGAGCAGGACTCGGGTCACAGCTGTGAGGATGGAAAAGAGCTTTGTGGAGGGAGAATTATTGTCTCATCATGAGGAGGAAAAAGGAAGAAAGTAAGCTCATTTGGCAGAGTTTGCACTTGGGCAACCCAAGAGATGGGCTAGAGACACACATACACTGCTAATTTCAGTTCTCAAACTGTGACTGTGCATCTGAAAGGTTAAAATTTCATGAGTCTCCTGATCTAATAAAAGGGCCAATCAAATCTACAACTCAGATGCAAACATGCTTTCCTTTCAGGTGTCCTCATTTCTACTTTAAAGTAGGCAGTAAAATCAACACTTCAACTCTTGCTAGAGTTCAAATTTCACCCCAGTTGCCCTTACCTGAAAGGGCACCCATGCACATTCAGGGATGAAGCCCCCTTAAGCCCCCCAACCCTTCGGCTCTCGGTCCCCTGGCCCTGGGCCATGCGGCTCTCAACAACATACTCACTGAAAGTTTACTTTGTCCACTTGGAATCGTGTCTCAAAAATCCCTGATGTCAGAACTCTGCATCTGAGGAGGTCCTGGGAGCAAGAAGAGGGAAGCAAGCTGAGTTACATTACTGTCCTTCCTCAAGGTAAAGCCCGGGTATAACTATACATCATCAATATTTTTCAAATAATTTGTTCCACTGTAAAGGAAAAAAATAGTAAGAACTCAGATTGGCCTAGTGCAGTGGCTCATGCCTATAATCCCGGCACTTTGGGAGGCTGAGGCAGGCAGATTTGAGACCAGCCTGGCCTACAAGGCAAAAACCTGTCTCTACTAAAAGTACAAAAATTAGCTGGGCGAGGTGGCAGGCACCTGTAATCCCAGCTACTTGAAAGGCCGAGGCAGGAGAACCGCTTGAACCCAGTAGGCGGAGTTTGCAGTGATCCAAGATTGTACTACTGCACTCCAGCCTGGGCAACAGAGCAAGATTCTGTCTCAAAAAAAAAAAAAAAAATTGGAAGAGTGCTTTTTTTCTGACTCAACCAAGAGGAGATGCCTCTGGGTCACACCTGGAAAGTTCGCTATGATATGGGACTCAGGTCTGGGGCCACAAGCAGAATGGGCATAGTTTATCAAGTCAGGAAGTAAAAGACTTGGCTTTCCTGAGGACAGCTCCAGGAGGACTGGGAACTGCATGTTCCTAGTCTGCAGATAAACTCATTTACATGCTGGCAATTTAAATAACCACTAAGCGCTAGAGTAAGGGAAGCAAGGCACAGGGTTTGATGACCAATCCATGCACACACGCAGGGCAGTACAAATGATTTGCAAGAAGTAGGTATCGTCAGGATTTTTCCTTAATCCATTTTGAAATAATCATTAAATCATATTAGAAACAAATCTCAAAAGTTTCTGGTGTGTGGTGGGGGATCCTAATTCCACATACCTGGTCTGTGGGTGTGTAGTCAACCAAGCTGACGCTGTCGATTCTTTCCAGGAAGCTGCAAAGAAAGCCAGCAAGGGTTGAGGCCTGTTCTCTGCTTACTTTCCTCTGGGGCTGGGGGAAGTTAATGGGACATTCAGCCAAGTACAGCAAGGATGGGGCAGACCAAGAAGCCGAGGTGAGTTCCTAAGTTGTTTCCTGAATTTCTATCTGTCTAGATAATGAACATTCCTGACCCAGGGACAGAGGACTGCATTCTTTTTTTTGTTTTGTTTTGAGATGGAGTCTTGCTCTGTCGCCAGGCTGGAGTGCAGTGGCGCAATCTTGGCTCACTGCAACCTCCGCCTCCTGAGTTCAAATGATTCTTCTGCCTCAGCCTCCCAAGTAGCTGGGATCACAGGCACGTGCCACCAGGCCTGGCTAATTTTTTTGTATTTTTAATAGAGACAGCATTTCACCATGTTGGCCAGGATTGTCTCGATCTCTTGACCTCGTGATCCGCCCGCCTCGGCCTCCCAAAGTGCTGAGATTACAGGCGTGAGCCACCTCGCCCGGCCTCGTTCTTTTTTTTTTAACTGTTGCCTTCCCTCCCCTCTCTTCTCCATGGCCAAAGAGTTGAGGGTAGGGGCTACTCAGAAATTGAGAGAGAGCATGGAGCCACCCTTCCAAGGCTAAGTAAGTACAAGAATATGCTGCAGTGTAAAGAAAACATGGAAGGTGATCGACGTTCCTTTAGTGTAGGTTTCTAATCAGATTCAGAAGTTGTGAGGGTATGACTGCGTGAATAAGTGTAAGAGTGACTGAGTGTTGAGTGTGTGGTGTGCAAGAGTAAATGTGTAACAGCGAGTGTGAATGTGTAAGGCTGAGCTTATGTGTGAAGGTGTGCCGGAGCAAGTGCGTGAGTGTGCGCGAGTGTGTGTGCCAGCATACCTGGTGATGCCTGTTAGTGTCAGATCTGCCGGGCGCCCGCTGTGTCCCACACAAGGTAGGGCGAGAGCCTAGGAAAGCTGTGCACGGCTCTCAGGTGACGACCCTCCTGGACCATTTCTCTTCATTTTTTTTTTTTTTTGAGATGGATTTTCGCTCTTGTTACCCAGGCTGGAGTGCAGGTGCAGTGGCGCGATCTCGGCTCACTGCAACCTCCGCCTCCTGGGTTCAGGCAATTCTCCTGCCTCAGCCTCCTGAGTAGCTGGGATTACAGGCATGCGCCACCATGCCTGGCTAATTTTTTGTATTTTTAGTAGAGACGGGGTTTCACCATGTTGACCGGGATGGTCTCGATCTCTTGACCTTGTGATTCACCCGCCTCGGCCTCCCAAAGTGCTGGGTCCGCTGGGAGGTCACTAAGCTCCCTTTCCCAGGTGACCGTGGACCCTGCACAGGCCTCCTCCACCCTCTCTGTGCCAGCCTGGCTTTACCAAGGCATCTATCCAGGCTGCATGTTTCTCACTGAGTCTTGGTTAATCTGTTCTTATGTGTCTCCTCCACTAACATGTGAAGCCCTCCAGGTAGGTCTCTGTTTTGTCGGCCTGGGAGTCCCCAGCACCTAGTGCAGGCCTGGCCCCAGTAAATATGGTGGAATGAACGAGTGTCCTCTGTCCCCTTCTTCTGAGGCTGGGACAGGTGGCCAGCAAAGGCTGAGAGGCTGGGTCCCTCAGTGCTGGGGATGGGTTAACTGGCGAGCAGAGGACAATTCTGGAGACAGAGGGGCAGCAGGGGCTCTGGAAGGAAGAAGGAGAGTGACAGGGAGAGAGGGGTCAGGGTGGCCCAGGCTCTCCAGTGGAACTGGCATTGCTGGGAGGCCCCGCTACTGAGGAGTGAGCAGGGAGGCCACACTAGCTTCCTGCCTGCCACGCCAGTTGGCTGGTTCTTCCCTGGGTAGGTGGAGGCAGCAGCCATGTGTCCATGGGCATTTCATGCAGTGGACGGGGTGTTGCCTCCCCATCTCCCCATCCTCCTGCAGCAGCTCCTCTGCAGGCCCCTGTGAACCTCAGTGTAGGCAAGAGGGAGGCGAAAGGGTTCAGAACACAAAATGCCACCCCAAAATGTGCCCTTCAGCATGTTGACTAATTGCATGCAGCTAAAGGGACTTGAGAAGCCTCAGATGCAGGGCTGACTGACCTCCTGCTCTGTCCCAAAAACCAGGTCATGAAATTTTCCATGAGAAACGTGCCTGCCCTGTACCAGGAAGAGGAGAATGTTCTCATCCCCAGGGACTGGGAGCTCACCCTGAAATGGATCTGTACAAACCCACTAAAATAACCCTTGTCTTTTATTAGTCACTGCCCCACAATGACTGCCCCTGGAAACTTGAACCTTTCTCCTTTGTCACGTCTCCATAAATTTATCATCTTTTGTTAAAAGAGTATGTAAGCTGTTAGTCCTAATGGCTTCTTCGGGTCTTCATTTTTCTTATGAAAGTTCATGTGTGCATGTAAAAATATTAAATAAAATATATATGCTTTCCTCCTGTTCATCCGTCTTTGTCAGTTCATTCAGCTACAGAACCTAATGGGAAAGAGAGAAGTTCTTTTTCCTTTCCCACCGAGGCAAAAAGGGATCCATATTAGGAACCACTTAGCCAAAGACAGTAAGACTGCATAGTTTCCTTGGCCATCTTAACTCTTTCCTTTTGGAAAGCTAAAGACAGTCAGTCCCCAGTGACTAGAACTGAGGCCTGGCCATGGGATGACATTTTGGCAGCCTTCATCCATAAATCTGGGTTTGGCACCACGAGGGCAGGAAACCCAGAAGCAGAATACACAAAAAGGCAGGAGTGGATCTGGTGGTGTTTGAGACAGCCTTTCACAGGGATAAGAAGCGGTGAGGGCAGCTGTGACCTCAGCTGTCATGAAGCAGTCATTTCCCTGGAAGCCAAGGGAAGCAGGCTATGAAAGTGGTGTCTGTGACTGCATTGTCTGGTGTGGAGTCATTAAAGAATGTCAGTTGGGCACATTGGCTCACGCCTTAATCCCAGCACTTTGGGAGGCTGAGGTGGGTGGATCACCTGAGGTCAAGAGTTAGAGACCAACCTGGCTAACATGGTAAAACCCTGTCTCTACTAAAAATACAAAACTTAGCTGGGTGCAGTGGTGGGCACCTGTGATCCCAGCTATTTGGGAGTCTGAGGCAGGAGAATCGCTTGAACCCAGGAGGCAGAGGTTGCAGTGAGCCAAAATCATGCCACTGCATTCCAGCCTGGCGACAGAGCAAGACTCTGTCTCAAAAAAAGAAAAAAAAAAAAGAAAAAGAAAAATGTCAACTGCTCCCAGCTCTCTGCAGAGCTATGGCCCAGGTGACAGGGCTATTGAGAGGCCAAAGGGACCATGATCAGCCAGTGGTGTCTTTAAAATAGGTGCTGCAAACCCTGGGAGGTGCTACTGCACACCAGTAGGTTGGTGAGTTGGCCAAGGGTGTGGAGCTGGCTCCAGAGGAGAAGGAACACAGGGAAGGGACCCTCTGGGAGCTGGAGAAACTCGGGAGGCTGGAGGCAGGAATTCCCTGCTGCTGTTGCCTGAGGCTTGGTTTGGAAAGTACAATGCAATTTTGGCTTGGTGGTTGCTGGCCTGGAATTTGGTGGGGTGAAGAGCAGCATGGAAGGACACACTGAGTTCCTGACCATCCAGCAACAAAGGAGCAAAAAGACCTTGGAATCCATGAGAAGGTAAGAAAAGCTTCTGCTGGGTTGGGAAGGGAGCTCTGGACGGGGGCCTGACTGTCCGGCGAGTTTCTAGGTAAGAAGGCTGCTTCCCTCACAGGCTGTGTGAGCTACAACAATTCTATTCAGAAATGGTTACAACTTTTGACAGGGGCCAGGGCAAGGGATACAGAAATGAATCAGCTCTGATGCAAAGAGCTGGAAGAAACTGAAAATTAAGTACGAAGCCTGTGACTACAGTTACAGTTTAGGAAGCAACAACCAATTTAAAATGGGATGCACATAGGTTGGAGGTAGGCGGGTGAATGTATTCACATGATAATAACTAGTCTAAGTAGAAAGAATGAAGTATGGTTAACCAAAAATGCCGCTTGAGTGCTAGAAAGAGCGCATCTTCCCACACGCTGTGAAAGACCAGTGACTTCGAGATGCTGACAGCGATGAGGTTGGTGGGTCTTCTTCTGTCCCCAACCTCCAAGATGGATATTCAGAGTCCTTGAGCTCTAATTCTCAGAGATCTAAGTGAAACCTGGGAGGTCTCATTGAACATTTCCAAGAGCTGCTTCTGAATCGTTACTGATGTTGACTGGTACTCTGAGTTCATGCATTTCAAGTTTGTGCAACAAAAATAAAATGTGAAAATTTACCCCCAAATGTGAATATGCCCCCAATTCTTTGAAAGACTCTCTAAGGAATAAAGAATAGAGTGGTAGAGTTCTGCCAGCCTTCTGCCTTGATCCTTGTTTCAACAGGCATATTTCCAATCATGTTGCAGAAGTACTTTTTCGAATTGGGCCTTCTATGATTGTATACGTAGAGAGAATTTTAAAGGGGTCTTCCAAATCACACATAGAATTCTGCATATGACTACATTTTAAAGCGTTATAATATTGCCTCCTTAAATATGCCACTGCATGCTAAGCAGAAAAATTAAGCAGATCAAAAATCTCCCTTGCAGACTATTCACTCCAACATTAGACACAGAGTTGCAAAACTATACCAAATTACCATTTAAAAAAAATCTCCTGCATTATAGACGCTATAAAAAGTAGTTAAAAAGAAATTTACTTTAATTTAAAAAATTTTTTCCTGTGACAGCTGAGGACATTCATGTTTGCAGAAATGTTTTTATTTTTGTTTAGATAGTCCATCTGTTTGATATTAGCAAAAGTAACAACTCACTGTTTACATCCCATCTGTTGTTGGCATCAAAAAATTCTTATGGCCATGGAATCGATCATGAAAAGGGAACAAGGAGAGTCATGAGAAGATGAAAACTATTCTGTTAAATGCCTTTGTAATGAAACTACTGGATTGGAGAAAAAAACTACCAACTACATTTCCATGTATTTAAAATTATTTTTTTGCGAACAAATACAATTGGAAATCTGTCAAGTAAAAAACTTTTCCCAATGTTAATGAAATTTGATTCATGATATTTATCTATAAGATATAAAAATACAGATGGATACCAGATACTTAGGAGGCTGAGGCAGCAGGATCACTGGAGACTAGGAGTTCGTACTGGTGGAGAAAAACATTACTCATATGGTGACTAAGTACCAGGCAGTTGTAATGTGCAGTCAGAGTTAAGATCCTTGCTCCTTAAAAGGGGTTCCCAGACTTGCAGCATATTGGCGTCATCTGCAGACCCACTGGGTCAGCTTGTGAGGCGGAACCATGTCCCAGGTGATCAGAGATTTGTGGTGACTCATCATCCAAGACCGTGTTCCTCTTGGCCCTCCCCGCCTCCCTGCTTTATGCTCTAATCTCTGCCTGAACCATCATTTCTCATGACTCCTGTGCTTCCTCCTTTCCACAGGGTGAAGTCCCCACATTTAATCTGGCCTTGAGCCCTTTGCAATCTGTCCAGTCTCCCCTTCACTCTCTTTTACATCAAATGAACGCTCCACTAAGCCAAAACTCCCAATTTTTGGCCTCTCAGATCCCATGTCATTCCTGCTTTTTTCCCCCTTTGAAACCTGAGATTAAACCCTGCCAACTCTGGGAAGCCACTTCTAACTACCATGACACAGCATAACCTCCCTTTCTTCTGGCACTTTCTGTTTCACGATTTGATAAGCATGGCATGCTGCCTAATATTGTAATTTAATATTTTTTAAAGGTTGAGGTATAAAATAACATAAAGCGTGCAAACAGTCCTGATCTGAAGTGTTCTTTTTTTTTTTTTACATCTGGATACACCTTGTCCATTCTTCTTTTTCTGTGTATGTCTTATCTACCTATTTTTACTGAATATCATTAAAGGGCAGAAGCATCTTCTCACCTCTAGAAAGAATCCTCACATGCCCAGCATGTTTTGGTCTACATCTTTTCCTGCATTTTCATTTAAAATGTTTTTAAATTAACAAAAAATTATTTTTTTTATATTTTTTTGAGACAGAGTCTCACTCTGTCACCCAGAGATTGTGCAGTTGGCACAATCTTGGCTCATAGCAAGATTTTGCCTCCTGGGTTCAAGCGATTCTCCTGTCTGAAGCCTCCCAAGTAGCTAGGATTACAGGTGTGCGCCATCATGCCTGGCTGTTTTTTTTTTTTTTTTTTTTTTTTTTTTGTATTTTTAGTAGAGACAGCGTTTCACCATGTTAACCAGGCTGGTCTTGTACTCCTGACCTCAGGTGATCCATCTGCCTCAGCCTCCCAAAGTGCTGGGATTACAGGTGGGAGCCACCAAGCCCGGCCCAAATTTAAAAAATTACTATTGAGATGGGGTCTCGCTAAGTTGCTCAGGCTGGTGTCAAACTGTTGGCCTCAAGCAATTCTCCTGCCTCAGTCTTCCAAAGTGCTGGGGTTACAGGTGTGAGCCACCACGCCCCATCTGTATTGTCATTTTGAATACACACTGCTGAATTGTTTGTCCTTACATTTCTCAGCAGGGAGAGAGGATGTATAAACCCCCAAGAACAGAGGTAAACATTTCATTGTGGACAAATGCTGTGAAGGAAGACGACACAGCTCTCGAGTGTCCATACTTGGGACTCTTGGCTGGGCACTCAAGGCGCCCGCTTTACCTGCCTGTCTGCCGCCATCAGAGAGCTCGAGGCACTGTCAGGAGAGAGCACCCAGGCAAGGCACACGTTCGCTCCACAGTACAAGCAGCCCACTGTGGGAGGCACCACACCAGGCCCAGAGATTGACACCATGATAGACACTGCCTGGCCCTGGCTCCCTACGGAGTTTACAATCTAATTGTAGAAAAACAAACCTAGGTAAACCAGATAGGCATTTTGCTAATTCCACTCAGTTGAAACAGGAGTCTGCTCATCTGTTTGCTTACTGTCCACTGACTTGTAGCTTTTCGCTATAATTACTAAAGATCTTGAGCTCTGAACTTTGGCTACAGAATTGCCAAGAGGCTGTTGTGTTTTTGCAGAGTAAGTCCCTCCCTTCTGCTTTATAGTGTGCTTGCCCAGCTGGTGCTGATACTATGGCTCAGTTAATAAGGCTGTCTTATCAGACTGGTGCTTATTTTCAGCAGTCTTCCAAATCAAAGACAGCAGGGACACACAGTGTCCAAGTCTCAGTGGCATTCCTTCAGCAAGAAATAGCTTTAGTAAGAAAATTCTCCAGTAGCACACACAGTATCATCTGGGTTTCCTAAGCTGAAATAAACTAAATGTAAAGTATTTTGTGTATTCATTCTACTTTTTTCTCTGTTCTACATTGTTAGAAATTGTGCATTTGAAGGCAGAAAAAATGAAAGGAAAAAATCTAACTAGTGGTTGAATGAAAGATTAACTAGTTCCCTGATGTGTTTCAGTTGGATCCTTTTGTAAATCATATCCATCTTTGGTATCGTGAAGTTTCAAAGAGAAAAAGAATCTTGTAGCCATGAAGAAACAATTACAGTAAAGAAGCCAGGGGCCTGGGCGCAGTGGCTCAGGCCTGTAATCCCAGCACTTTGGGAGGCCGAGATGGGTGAGTCACTTGAGGTCAGGAGTTTGCGACAAGCCTGGCCAACATGGTGAAACCCCAACTCTTTAAAAACAAAATAAAACAAAACACCAAAAATTAGCCAGGTGTGGTGGTGCGTTATCTGTATCCAAGCCACTCAGGAGGCTGAGGAAGGAGGACCACTTGAACCCAAGAGGTGGAGGCTGCAGTGAGCCAAGATCGTGGTGACACTCCAGCCTGGGTGACAGAGCGAGACTCCGTCTAAAAACAGCAACAACAAAAATAAGCCAGGGATCCTAGAAATATGCAAGAAAAAGCCATGCTAACCAAACAAATTTAAGTGGTGAGATTGAGGGTGAATTTGGAAAAATACCATGCTTTCTGAACCAAATCTACCTCAGAATTCTTTTTTCTTAAGTATTTTTTAAAACAGGATGCACACTCACATCCAACAACATGCAGTTAAAAATGATTTATTTGACAAATTCCTGTGATTTACATTTCAGTATTTCATCAACTGCAAAAGTGAGGAAATAATCATGGGCCTCTAGTGCCTCTGAAAATAATATTTATGACTCATAAAAATGTACATTCATAATAGTATGACATGAACATCTTTTAACAAAGTTGAAGCATATACAAGCAGTTTAATCTCACAAAATATATTAATTTTGTTGGGAATATTTGCATTATAAAAGGGTTTTCAATTTACCAAAGGGTTCGACACTAAGCTATTTTTAAATTTGTAATTATTTTTCCCAGTCTAAAGAGGGGTTAAGGCTGGGTGTGGTGGCTCCTGCCTGTAATCCCAGCACTTTGGGAGGCTGAGGCGGGCAGATCACTTGAGGTCAGGAGTTTGAGATCAGCCTGGCCAACACAGTGAAACCCCGTCTCTACTAAAAATACAAAAAAATTAGCTGGGCGTGGTGGCATGTGCCTGCAATCCCAGCTCCTCAGAAGGCTGAAGCAGGAGAATCGCCTGAACTTGGGAGGTGGAGGTTGTAGTGAGCCAAGATTGTGTCGTGGCACTCCAGCCTGGGCCTCAGAGCGAGACTGTCTCAAAAATAAAATAAAATAGGGGTTAAGACTCATGCTGTCCTTACACATGGCTCTGCATAACCATGTGGATGACCGGACCCATGACTTTCTAGAGGTGTCTGTTCTTGAGAGAAGATGCTGGGCAGACAAACAACAAGTGTCCCTTAGAGCACACTTCTGAACAAGGTCCAAATATAAAGTAACTTAAATATAAGGGTCACTCTTTATCTGCACACACGTTACACCTGCTTTCTTTTTTTCTTACTCATTTACACTAGAAAACATGTTATCATAGTTAATAGTTGGTTATGAATCTTTCAAAGAACTAGGAAGAGTCCCTACAATTATTTTCTGAAACAACAGAATTCTCTTACGGAAAAAATCTTCCAGGGAAGGAAAGGGGAAGTTCAAAACAACTTGAATTAAGTTGGTATACTTGCCAAGGCAAAAGCAAGTTGCTTTTCTCCACGTTTCCACGCTATGAGAAAGTGGTGGCTACATGCTTTACTTTTCAGCCAGAAAATACGCATTGCCATTCCTGAGAAAATGGTAGGCAAGTACAGCCAGGCTCCATCCTTAGAGTCAAGCTTTCTCCTTCCTTACAGCCCTACTCCTTACTTCTCAGACTTCCAGCTGGCTGGATGTATACATAAATTACTTGCATGGCTAAGTAAAACATTCCAGCTTATATTTTCAAGGTTTTCAAAGAGATGTTGCTTTTGGACAAATTAATAAATGCAAATTAGAACTTAAAATGCAGTTCTAAATTTATTTCTATTTTTGGTTGTTAAAATCAAAACAAAACCTACAGACACACAGTCCCAGGGTTTTCTCAAACAAAATCAACAGTTCTTTGGCAATGTTAGAGTGAGTAACATGACTGCCATGCTAGCTAGCATACTTTATAAGACATCTAATAGTGTTCAAACAAGAAAACAACTATAAACTTGTTAGAGAAGTTCGTTTGAAAGACACTGTCAAATATCACCCTTTCTAAGTCTTTTTAAGAACTCAATTTAGTAAGTAGAAAATATAAATGAACAAATTTAATTTTTTGTTCAGATAATAAAGGAAGTTATTCGGCATTTTTCCCAGTTACACAATTATCACATGAAAAATTCATAGAATATAAGCATTAAGAGAGTATTATGCAAAAATGTCCTAAGGTAATTTCAGTATAAGTTATGAGACCAGATTTATTAATAATATATGTCATGAGAACAGTCAATTGCAGTCTCACTGTGAAGGCAAAAACAAAATCCAAAATCCAAACGATAAACAGAAACAGCACTGCCCACCGACTATACTGAATGGAGTTTATAGCTGTATAACCAAACTAAGTAGTCTTTCCCGTCTTTAACTTTTATGCACCATCTGCCATTCTCTAAATTATCAATCACACTAAATAATATTAATAATCAAAACCAACCACCTTCAATCTGATCATTCTGCGCCGAAAACTGAATAGTTATGACCAGATTTTCGAGAAAGATTCACATACACCAAATTAACTAGTTCTGTTAAAAGGCTGCTATAAAAATACCATCATTACGAGCTATACAGAACTTCAGAATCCAGCTAAGAGAGCAGAAAGACTGAATTTCTTAATTTATCTGGAAGGGGCCGTAAACCCAAAGGTAGAAGGGCATTTCAGCATACTGGCATGTTCAGAGTTTCTAGCGTATAGTAACTCTCTAACACACAGAGAGCATTTAAAGGGTGGCTATGGCCAGGAAACCTCAGAGCGGGTTCTGCAGTCACACTTGATCCCGAAGTCGGGCCAGTCTCTGAGACAGTTCATCCTGTTCTGCCGAAGCTACGCTCGTGCCCACCGAGCCGGTCTGCCCCTGCGGCAGCTCCATGTTGAGGTCGAGGCCCGCCTCATCTGCCATTTCCTGGAGCAGCATATCCACTTGGTTCTGGGGAGTGGTGAGCGTCGTCGTGCTGCTCATGGTATCTTCCATTTGCTGCGTCTGGACGTCCAGAGTCTCAAACTGGTGTTCGAATTTGTCCATCAAGGCGGAAATCTTCTCCAGATTCATGGTCTTCAATGTCGCATCCATCGACTTAACCACACCAGCCATTGACTTGGTCACCTTGCCCATCGTCACCGCCGTCTGGACCCTGGCAGCCACTGCATCGACTCGCGCACTCATTCTCAAGAAATTCACCGCTTGGTTCTTCTGGCGGATGGCATTTTCGGCGTGTATCCTCGCAACTTCCATGTTGCCCTTCTGAATGGCCTTTTTAATTTTGGCCTTTTCGGCCTTTTCCTCCTTATCGCATTTTTTGGCACTCCTGCTCAGTTCTTTGGCCGCGAATTTTAGGTTGAACAGGTGTTTTTCCATGTTGGACATAGTCGGACCGCTGCTTGGGGTCGGCACCCAGGCCGAGACGTACGCAGAAGAGAAAGAAGGTGAGGTAAGCCCGCTCCCGGTCGCCGCTCCTTTGTTTTGGTCCCACTTCCTGTTTCTACCGTGCGCGGCGCAGATGGTGACGTTAGAGTTCGGCGCCAAAGGCGGGGCCTGCGGGACGGACGGCGCCGGGGTGGGGCCTGTGGGACGCACGGCACCAGCGCACGCAGAGGGGACTCCTGCCGGACGCAGATCCGGCGCTGCGGCGCTGGTTGCAAGCCTTTCTGTGCTGCGTTCTACCCGGGTTTTAAGGTTCTTAACGCATTAGTAAATTCACAGAAATAAGTGCCCACACGCACTTTCTTAGGAATAAATCTACGTAGACAGGATCTGTGCAGATCTGCATGTAAAAATACCCAAGCTCCAAACTTGGCAGGCTTTGTAAAGGGTGACTGGCTAGCGGGCTAAAAACCAGCAAAACATCAGTTAGGCCTGCAGATTAAAGACTGCTTTATTAGCATGGTTAATTTACACTTTCTCAGGGGAAATGGAAACCATGGATACATTAAAAACAAATATATTAAGACTACATTAAAAACAAACGGGTCATTGACCTGCCTCCATCTTTGACTACAGTTTGTGCTGGAGTTCTATAATATCCTTTTATTGCATTGGGTGAAAATACCTTCAAAACTGTGGCACCACCAAATGTATACCTTGGCTGGAAGTTCAGCTTCTAGGTGAACTGCCAGCAGTTATCTGAAAATCGTCCTGTGGCTTAGTAATAAAGGCCCATCTTATGCTGACACCATTCTATCTTTTTGATGTTTTATAAATATCCAAAAAACTTCACTCACATTTAAGCTTGACAGGCTAAACTGTCATTTTAAATTATGCAGGCAGGGTATGGTGAGATATTAGGACCCACACCCACTGGCATACATCAAAACTGTCACTATGTATTACACCCTTTAACAATGCAGGGTTTCAAATGGGAGCAATATGTGCTGTCACTTTTCTCTTTAGAAAGATTCCTCCGATACAGCAAAAACAATATGAGAAGACCCAATCTGTCCTAATGAGCTATGCTGAAAATGAACCCTGAGAGCAAATTCTGTTTAGAGATCATTTTAATCCAGCAGCCCGCCACCTCGCTTAGGTTCCTGTGATAGCTTGCCAATCAGTTTCGCACCACAAGACCCTCTAAAAACATAGCTCCGATGTTTTCACTCTCTTGCTCCAAACCCTGGGCGTGTAGCTAAACCTGCTGTGTAGCATGCTGGCTCCTTTTCTTTCACTCCCCTCTGCCAGTCAAAGCAAACTGCAGCATGGAAGTTGAGCATTATTTGTGTCATTTGGCCGACTGGGAGAGTGAGACCGACACCGCCTCCCTTGGCTATGCTGTTCCTGTTGCCTGGATTTACTGTCCATGCATCTCTGCCTATTGACACCCTACCTGTCTTTCAAAGGCCACCTTTGCCAATGTGCCTCTGCAGGACCCCTCCTCTGTGTGGCCATAGTACAGGGCACATTGCCTGGCAAGGGGTCTGCGTGTATAGGTCACCTGTTAACAGTATGAACTACTTGGATGCAGAGAACACTGAATCCTGGAAGGCGTTGCTGAATTTAATTATACTTCAGAGGGAATAGGATGTTACCCTAGTTAGCAGCTATGTTAGCTATGGTGCCTTTTTTCCCCCCAAAGCAGTAGAACCCTTTTTCCAAATGAAACTTTTCTAGAAGTGGAATATACACAACCAATAAAAGGGAAGAAATCTGTTCAAAGTGGGGATAGAGAGCTTAGGCCCTCTGCTCACTCTGCATCCCACTCTTCCCTTGTTTTAGGTCCCAGTTTTTCTTGGAGTTTCCAAACAAGTTTCTTGTCCAGCTTCCATGTCATGCTTCATAATTTTTTTTTTGAGACGGAGTTTTGCTCTTGTTACGAAGGCTGAAGTAAAATGGCACGATCTTGGCTCACCGCAACCTCTGCCTACTGGGTTCAGGCAATTCTCCTGCCTCAGCCTCCTGAGTAGCTGGGATTACAGGCACGCGCCACCATACCCAGCTAATTTTTTGTATTTTTAGTAGAGACGGGGTTTCACCATGTTGACCAGGATGGTCTCAATCTCTTGACCTCGTGATCCACCCCTCTTGGCCTCCCAAAGTGTTGGGATTACAGGCATGGGCCACCACTCCCGGCCTTCTTTTTTCTTTTTTTTGAGATGAAATCTTGCTCTGTCACTCAAGCTGGAGTGCAGTGGTGTGATCTTGGCTCACTGCAGCCTCCTGGGTTCAAGCAATACTGCCTCAGTTTCCTGAGTAGCTGAGATTATAGGCACACAACAGCATTACTGGCTAATTTTTATATTTTTAGTACAGCTGAGGTTTCACCATGTTGGCCAAGCTGGCCTTAAACTCCTGACCTCAAGTGATCTGCCCATCTTGGCCTCCCAAAGTGCTGAGATTACAGGGAAGAATCACTGTGCCTGGCCCATAGTTTTCTTAGTGACAAATTCTAACTAGGTGAGATGGTTTGGAATATAATCATGAGAGGCTCTGATAGATGATGACTGTAATGAAAACTAACATTAATAAAGTACTTATGCACCAGATATTGTTCTGGGCACTTTACATACATTAACTCATTTCAGCTTCACACAACCTATTAAGTAGATACTATAAATGTAGCCAGTTCACAGATAATGAAAGGGAAGAACAGAGAGCTAAGAAACTTGCCTAAACCCATACATCAGGTAAGTGTTAGAAACTGGATTCCATGGATGTATTGGGACCAGTAATAAGACAATGGGGGATCCAATAAACATAATAATAATGAAAGAAAGATCATCATGTAGCTAAAGAAAGAAGTTGATTTTGCAGCTTTTTTTTTTGAGAAGGCAGAGTTGCATTGACTGCAAAGTTGCTCAGTGGTTGCTCTGACTGGGCATGGTGACTCAGGAATGTAATCCCAGCACTTTGGGAGACAGGTGGGTGGATCGCTTGAGGCCAGGGGTTCGAGACCAGCCTGGCCAACATGGGGAAAGCCTGTCTCTACTAAAAATATAAAAGGTAGCCAGGTCGGGTGGTGCATGCCTGTAATCCCAGCCACTTGGGGAGCTGAGGCAGAAGAATGACTTGAAACCGAAAGGCGGAGGTTGCAGTGAGCTGAGATCGTACCAGTGTACTCCAGGCTGGTCGACACAGAGACTCCCTCTCAAAAAAAAAAAAAAGTAAGACTGCTAAAAGAAGTTGCCATCACCTAGAGCTACATTCCTTGGATGATGATGCCTCTTCTTTCTGCGCTGGAGAGAAGGGATGGGTGGAGTTTTAGGAGCCATCTTCCCAGAGAGACCAGAGTGGACTAGAATTCTGAAGAGAAGGCAGCCCTTTCCGCTGGCAGTGCTCCTCCTCTCCTGGCGGTTCCCAAGCCCTGCCCTCTTCTTTCTCTTATCAACACCCCAGCCATTCCCACAGTGTTCAATAGGATCCATAGCTAACAGTTCTCATGTTCACATTTCCAGGAAGAGTTTTGCTTCTGAGCTCAAACCCGTATGCCCAGCTATTCCCTTGTTGCTGGGTGATTTTGGTGCATGAATGTTTGGCCACTCCTCAAAGTGACTGAACTCAGTCCTTTCCCCCAAATCTGCTCATTTCCATTTACTACTGGCACCTCCATCTACCTTGTCATTCAAGTTGGATTCGGAAGAATTCTCTCTGGCCACTATGGTGTCTACATCTGTATCTACCCTGGCTCTAAGTGTTCTCCATTCTTTATATTCCATTGAGGCTGAAAACCTTCAGGGTTTGTTTCAGCTTGGTATGGTTTTTCTTTTTGTGTATTTAGCAAAAGTAAGATTATTTTGGGATTGTGATCAAAGGAGGTTTTGGTCCTACAACCATGTTAATTGTCTCTGAAAACCTTTTGGACCAATGCAGATGTGAAAACAGAACATACAGTTTATAATGACTGGAACAGTTTAGCAACTACCACATTAACATTGAAATCTTACAAGTCCCATAGCCAAATTTTCTTGTAGTGAAAAAAAAGAAATTTTTGATTAGAGTGCATACATTTCTAGAAAGCTGTGAGTCAAACCAGTTAATTATTTTTATTATGAAATGGGGAAGAAAAATATGCTATCATTTGGCACATCTGGCTGATTTCTTTTCTTTTCTTACTTTGAAACAATGCAAGTGGTTAAAATGAAAATATTTAAGTGGACATGCGGTTTGACTTCATTGGAAAAGAATCATCTGATAAACCTGAAGTCACTGAAAAAAAAGAGAAAATAAAAGATATGAAAAATAACTTTCTCTTGTGTGTTCAAGTATTTCTTGATTTTCATTGGTATGTTTCTAGTGATTTTGAAATGTTTTACCTCAAACTCAGGGCTCCTCCACAGCTATCACAATTTGCATTTTTTGCATACATTTGTGTTTGCTCAGCAGCAGGCTTTCCTATTAGATGTAGCATGGTGACCTTTGGTTCACTACCTATACCTGGTACTATTCAACCTCTGGAAAACAACAGATATCCAAAACATTTTTGGTGAATGTAGGAATATATGAATGCAGCCAAAGGAGATGGCATTAGATACATAGTCACTTGGTGACCATTTTGAGGAATACATTACATATATGTATATATATATATTATACACTACATACATATGCAATATTAATTTATTACAAATATGATGTATTAAACATATGTATATATATTTTCCTTTATATCACCTTTTTATTTCGGAACACAGCTAGAATTAAAATCGCTGAGACTCCTCAAGACTTGGGAAATTGCAAAGTCACTGTCCAGGGCTGGGTGTGATGGCTGATGCCTGTAATCACAGCACTTTTGGAGGACGAGGGGGCCTAGGAGGTTGCAGTGAGCTGTGATCGCAATACTGCACTCCATCTGGGGTGACAGAGCAAGATCCTTTCTCAAAAATAACAACGAAACAAAACCAAAGTCACTGTCCCTCAATATATGTTAACAACAGCCTGGGCAAGATGGTAAGACCCCATTTTTACAAAAAATAAAAAAGAAAAATTAGCTGGGCGTGATAGCATGTGCTTCTAGTCCCAGCTACTTGGGATGCTGAGGTGGGAGGATCTCTGTGTCCAGGAGTTCGAGACTACAGTGAGATAATCCAGCCTGGCTAACAGAGTGAGATTCTGTCTCTTAAAACACACACACACACACACACACACACACACACACACACACATTAAAATGATGTCAAGATTTGGCCGGGCGTGGTGGCTCTAGCCTGTAATCCCAGCACTTTGGGAGGCCGAGGCGGGTGGATCACAAGGTCAAGAGATCGAGACCATCCTGGTCAACATGGTGAAACCCCGTCTCTACTAAAAATACAAAAAATTAGCTGGGCATGGTGGCGCGTGCCTGTAATCCCAGCTACTCAGGAGGCCGAGGCAGGAGAATTGCCTGAACCCAGGAGGCGGAAGTTGCGGTGAACTGAGATCGCGCCACTGCACTCCAGTCTGGGTAACAAAAGCGAGACTCCATCTCAAAAAAAAAACAAAAAACTGATGTCAAGATTTAAAAATAAAAAAGAGAAGGAAATAGAAAAGCAGCATGTA